CTCACTGGAAGGACAGATCCTGAAGCTGAGGCTCCAATACTTTGGCCACCTCATGAGAAGAGAAGACTCCTGGAAAAGACCCTGATGTTGGGAAAGATGGAGGGCACAAGGAGAAGGGGACGGCAGAGGACGAGATGGTTGGATAGTGTTCTCGAAGCTACCAGCATGAGTTTGACCAAACTGCGGGAGGCAGTGGAAGACAGAAGTGCCTGGCGTGCTCTGGTCAAGGGGTCACAAAGAGTTGGACATGACTAAACGACTAAACAGCAACAACAACCAGGGGAAACCAGGAAAGGCTTCTAGAAAGCATGACTGAAACAGAGCAGGGTGGTAGCTATTTATGCTCTGATGTTTTTTGGGGGACACACCATAAGGAGGCACATGCAGGATGACAGAAGATCCCTCCATCCATCCCAAAGTGAACTGCAAGCATTGCTAACCCTACCTGCAACAGTGACTACAATCTACCTTTTTTATATAAAAAATCTTTGATATGATATATTTGTTGACAAACCCTTAAAAACCTTTTTAAGAAAGAGAGAGAGAGAGAGAGAGAGAGAGTGCTCCTGAACAGACTAATTGTCAATAACAATGTTTGGGCCTGATAAAGACGAGTGACTGAATAGAGAGTAAGGTAAAGGGACCCCTGACCATTAGGTCCAGTCGTGGCCGACTCTGGGGTTGCGGCGCTCATCTCGGTTTATTGGCCGAGGGAGCCAGCGTACAGCTTCCGGGTCATGTGGCCAGCATGACTAAGCCACTTCTGGTGAAACCAGAGCGGCGCACAGAAACACCGTTTACCTTCCCGCTGGAGCGGTACCTATTTATCTACTTGCACTTTGACGTGCTTTCGAACTGCTAGGTTGGCAGGAGCAGGGACCGAGCAACGGGAGCTCACCCCGTCGCGGGGATTCGAACTGCCGACCTTCTGATCGGCAAGTCCTAGGCTCTGTGGTTTAACCCACAGTGCCACCCGCGTCCCATGAATAGAGAGTAGACCGTTGCATTTGGGTATTTCACATCGTCTCATAAAAGAGCACCAAATACTGAGAAATGGATGCAGCACCCCTGCTCTCCTAAAGTCTTCCGCTCCACCCCCATTATCCTCCAGTTTGGTGAGTGTTAGGGAGGAGAAGGTCCATCAGATTCTCTACCTCCGTTAAATGGTTCTTCTTCTTTTAATAATGCGCCTGCTTAGCTTTCGAAAGGTGTTTTCCATGAGTGAGAGAAACCTTCAAAAGCTTCTCAAAATACAGTTGCACGCTCCCCACTTCCCCAAGCAGCGAGAGATTCCCCAGGCGGCTTCACTAGATTTATTTGCTTTTGAATGAGATAGAGCTGGAGACTTCAGGTGTCTTTGCTTGTATATTTGTAAATAAAGCTATTACAGGTGTAGAACTTGAGGCAAAGAGGAGCTCCTGCAAGGCGGAAGATTCCCCCAGAGAGCAGCTGCGGTAGCCCTAGAGATGGGCAAATCAGTCAATGTCAGTTTATCTCAGTGTTTCCTTTTTCCAGACGTAAGTTCAATTCTCCACTTTTCCACAGCATTTTGCATTTTTTTATTTATTTAAAAAAGAGTCCCCTTGAAAATTCGCCACCATTAGCGCAAAATTCTAAATACACTCAACGTTTCGAGGCAATTTTGCCTAAAATACACATATCTGCAGGAACAACTTTCTCAAATATGTTGCATTTGGTATGTTATTTCCATAATATATGCATGCTTGTGCACACTTTACTTTGGAATACACATTTTCACATGTGTTACGTGGCCGGAGAACTGTGTTGCAAAATTTGGAGAAGTGTGAATTTCAAAATTGGTTTGGCTGTGTTTCGGTCCACATTTCATTTCGAAAGTGCAAATTAGACAGGCTCACCTTTAAGTGAAAATGAAATTGAACTGAGTTTCTCATCCATCTCTCGGTAGCCCCAAAGGCTGCACCCCCAATCTGGGCTGACACCAACTAGAAACACACAAATCACATAAACGCACACACTTGCCTGCCCTCAGCTGGAGTCTTATCCTTTTCCCCAACCTCTGATGGGTTATCTCATTCAAAGGCCCCCTTTTCAGGATATGGATGATTGTACAGTGTTTACACATCCAATAATAATCAGTTTAACACATGCCCACTTTCTTCATGTTGTGTGTGGAGTTTTGTATATCATTTATGATGTCTCTGTCATGAGGCACTCTGCCTCGAACATCCATGTCAATGAAAGGGCAGCAAATTCTTGGTTATGGAATTGTTATAATTGGTTATTTGGCTATTTATTGCTGTAATTATTATTATTTGTACTGCCAGGGAGGGGAGAGAGGCTTTGGTGAGATTTCTGCTTCAGGTACTGAAATAACTAAACCAGACTTGGGCTCTGTACACCTTGATTTGGGCAGAAGAAATACAATGAGCTGTCCACTTCGGGCAGTAAAATGTTGTGGGCCAATTGTCATAGAATCATTGAAATGTAGAGGCGGAAGAGATCATGAGGGTCACCTTGCAATACAGGAATCTCAACTAGATCATATATGTTTATATTTGTATTTCCATAGGACACACACACACACACACACACACACACACACACCCCATAGGTCTCAACTTACAGATTTGAAAATAAGGGACCAGCAGCCTTGAAAATAAGGGACCAGCAGCCAAAATAAGGGACCTGCAGCCTCACCTGTTCCAGGCACTCCAGTCTTCCTGTCCTCCTGAAGTCTGGTCAAACTCATGCTAGGTAGCTTCGAGAACACTGTCCAACCAACTTTGTAATCAGAGGTTCAACTGAATAGAACCTGAATCACATGCACCACAAGGCCTATGCAGCCTCAACTTAAGATGGCTCCCCGGCCTGGCTTTGCACTGCAAAGTTTGCAGCAGCACGTGCAACAAAATGGCGTCCAGCATTCAAAACCCCTCAGCTTGCATTAACTAGCCACACACAAGGCATGCAAGCTCCACCCCCCAGTCGTTCTTAGACTTCTTATTGGGTGAGCAACACAGCCAAGCAACACAGCTGGAGCCTCCCTGGCCAGCAGGGAGGGAGGGAGAGGAGCTGCTTCCTTTGAAATTTAAGGGACATCATTTAAGGGACATTTAAGGGACATCCATCAATAAGGGACAGCAGTGGGACATAGCGCTGGAATAAGGGACTGTCCCTTCAAATAAGGGACACTTGACAGCTAACACACACACACACACACACACACACACACACACCTATCATGAGACCATCTCCTTGCCATTAGCTCCCAGTGCAGAAACAGCAACAGAACGTCTTGGGACTATTAACCAGCAATCTGTCGAATCAAAGAACGTCTGGCTAGCATCTGTAACAACACTGTGCAAACGATCAACACAATCATAGAAATGCCTGCTGACATTTTCAAAAAAACTCTATCAGATGTGGGTGTGATAATTTTCTTTACACAGTCCCTGCTGACTTTTCCTTAAGATATGTTCATCCATGCATTTAACCTGCCTGTTTTTAGCGGTTTTTAAAGGTTGTCATTACATTAAGCTGCTTTCCAGCCCATTAGAACAGAAGCTGGTTTCAAGGGAAGGGTTACATACTGTGGGAGCAATCCACCTACTCGCTGCGGTTTGAAAGTTCCCATTGGGGAGATGGGGGTTGGTCGCATCCAATGCAACAACTGAGCTCTTCGAAGTTTGGATTAATGTCACTGGGTCACGGTGATGTGTCGCTGTTTCTCCCGCTAATTTGCACCAAACCTCCTCTACAAGCTGCTCTGCATGTTAGTTAGTCTGACTTGAAACCCAGATCATTATTACATATGAACGTCTCTCAGATAACCTCTCTGAAGCTGCCTGAGTCACCATGATTCAAGTAACTGTCCTTCCTTGAAGAAGAAAGAGACAATCCCATATGTTTTGCTCCCCATTGGCAGGGAAGTATGGGGGATTGGTGTAAGAAATCAGTCAGAGGGGCAATGGCTAAATTCCCCCTTCCCCCTGCCATTCCTCTGTTCAAATGTGGCTGATTTTCCTTTCCAATGTAGCACCTCCTTTGTCCCAATCCTTTCCCCATAATTACAAGGAATAAACTTCAAAATCAACATTGCATGAAGCTTCCTACACAAATTCATGCTGGGTAGGTCTGCTAATACCTACCAGTCGTTCTTAGTAAGGGTGTGCTGGTCCTGTGGTTACCCGAGAGGCAAGGTCCAAGTCCGGTCTGTGGTCAAGGTGCAACGTGGAGGCAGTCCGTAGTAGCTGAAGCTGGGTGCAGGGCAGGGAGTCGTGTGAAGTCAGGAACAGGCTTGCAAGCAGGGAGCCAGGGCGGGTCAGGAGCTCAGGCAGAAAAGCAGGACAGGGCTCCGGCAGGAACTAGCAACCAACAATGTTGCTCCCGCAACTTGGGACTGGGGCCGGCCAGCTTTTATCTGCCCCGAGGCATAGGGCGGCCCCAATCCTCTGGTGACTCGCCTCTCCTGGCCTGGAGGCGAGCACTCCTCCTGCGGGAACTTAGTTCCCTCTGCCTCTCTGCCCTGAGACTCTGCAGCTCAGGAGATGCTGGAGGGTTACTGGACCCAGAGGCAACCTTAGCTTCCTCTGATGGGGTTGAGAGTGGAGCACCTGCAGGCAATGGGTCCTCCATCACCTCAGGAGCCAGAGCAGACTCAGCTGATGCCTGCACCTGAGGATCCAGCACAGGTGAGGACCCTTCAGGCCCATTCCCCGGCTCAGCTGGTTCTGGAGGCGGGGAATCCTGTGCAGGCTGGGATCCCTCAGGTTCAGCATCCGAGTCCGAATCCCAGGCCATCACAAAGGGTTTGTGTTGCACTGTGAAGGGCTTCCATTCACTGCTTCAGACAGTTAGGCACACCCTCCTCTACAATATACCATTCCATTTTCCTCCACCTCATTTTCTGTCAGGAGCAGGTCTGGAAGAAACCACATGGCAGTAGTGAAGTTAACTCTTCATTCAAGAAAACACGGTAGGCCCAGGAGGCAGGCCTAGTGAGCAATGCAACTCATCCTGTTAGATCTGGTCCCTATGAGGCAGCTGTGGGGACTGAAGGTCTTCCCACAATTCCCTATGTCTCCTCCTCCCCTGAATTCTGGTCCAGAAGGCATATGTTTCTGAACAATGGAGACAACGGTTGCCATCTTGCCTTCCTTGTAGACTTCCTGGGGGCATCATGGCTGGTAACGATTAGGAACAGAATGTGGAATAAATGAATCTTTTGTCTGATCCAGCAGAGCTGCTCTTTATTCTGCATGTAAAAAAAAAGGTATACATTAATTCATGCCACACATTTCAATCGCAGCTATGAGTCACAAGATCTAGATGGCACATCTGTACTCAAAGGTGGCATATCTTTTAAAAAGAAAGAAAGAGCGGAAAGGAAACATAATCTTGGTGCTCAGAGGTTTACATCATTAGGCCTACCAAATTCAGATCTTGCTCAGGAACACTCTTAAGAGCAACCAATGGCTATCTTTGGTTTCCAGTAACTCTGTTGCAAAATAAATTGTTGCTTGTGGGAATTCCAGAAGCATCTCGCTGATAACGGTTAAGACTCACCATCCCCTCTGCCTCCTTGGGCCTGATCCAGCATGGTCTTCCTAGACCAGGTGAGGAACCCTTTTTGGCTTGAGGGCCATATTACCTTGGTGGAAAGTTCTCTGCAGTGGCATTCCAGCAGTGGACCCAGCAGTGGGCAGGGGCAATTCAACTCTTATCAAGAGATTAATTAGCCACTCTTCACCAGAAGGTCCCATGACAGGTCATAACATTTAGATAAGACTCTGACCCTTTGTTTGGCACACTAAATTGGTATTTCTGCAATGCCATCTCTCTTCAAGTCTCTCCTATGTTCCGGCTGGACCCAGTTTACTAGAGTAAAGACTGAGTTTGCTTTTTATTGGTGTGCCTAAATAGGTCAACCGGCATTTGGCAATGCGGCCACTTGCAGCCTGCTTTTGTATATTTGTTCTGTTAATCTTGCACAGAAACAGCTCTTAAGTTTGGAGTAGTACTGCTCATAGCTTTATGTGGTTCCCAAGAGTGGTGCTGTTTTAAGTGTTCATCTCTACAGCGCTGGAGTTTCCTTTCCACTCTACAAAGAGACTGTAGAATCCAAGAACGTTCAGGATTTTGCCTTGAGTTCACTGTTGCTAGACATGGGGAAATGCCCCATTCCTCCAGGAAGTTCTGGGAAGTGAAACACTGACCCACAGCAGTGGTCCAGCAGCATCAGTAGAGTCAATACCAAGTCAGAGGACCAAGTTCTGAAGGGCAGGGGAGCTGTCCAGCAGTATCAGCAACATGTCTGTGTTTGTGTATGGGTGGATGAATGGATGGTAAACACTAGTGGCCAAAATTGTGGAAACCTAGACTTCCGGGGTGGCGCCTCCGGAAAATGGCGGAATTCCCTTCGGACTGAAGGGAACCCGCTGCACGGAGGCTTGGGTCCTGCCGCTACGGCGCAGCGGGGACCCTTAAAAACCACAGGCGGAAGAAGCCTGTGGGCGTGGGACTCGGCGGGCACCGAGAGCGCTCTCCCCTGTGCAGGAGCCCGGTAACGGGCTCCGGAGTGGGAGGTGCGTGGTGCTGTGAGTCGACTGCTTCCTCCGTGCAGCAAAGCCGCACTGCCGCTTCGGAGAGCGCTGCCTTTTCCTGGACAATTTGGCATCTAAAACATCTATCCGTGAGTACCTGATCCTGGAAGAGCTGAACTACTTTTAAGATTGGTGAATAAATAAATAACATTGGACTTGAACTTGAAATTGAATTTAATTGGGACTCGGAACGGAAAGGTCTAAACAGGAAGTCGCCTTCCGTTCTTTTGTTACGTGAAGAAAGCAAAGACAAATTATACTAAAGCCTGAAAACTAAATTCTGAGAGAACTAAAATTCAACATCTAAGATTTCTGAACCCCCTTTGATTGCAGGAGAAGAAGGGGGTTGTTTTGATCTTTTCAACCCTGCGGAAGTGAGTTTAAAATAAAGTAATTTTCCACCGCCCTGAACCAGGAGCGGGCTGTCAGAACTGACGCTTTGAAGCTTATCCAGCTCGACAGATAGTTAAAAGAAGGGTAACATTTTGATTCTACTGTTGCCTCTTGAATTTGAAAGGGGGAATTTTGGATAAAGTGTCTCTGGAAAAAGAAAGATTGTTACTGTTGTTTTTCCCCCTCTTAAAAAAAAAAAAGGGGGGGGGGTTTCCATCTAGTGGAACTGAGTGAAATTGCAATGCAGAGAGTTTAAAAGAGAAGGACCATTCTCGTGGGAAAGAATTTTTTCTGACCTTGAAGGACAATGCTTGTACAAAGGCTTGAACAAGTGTTCCTGGAAGGTTTTGCAAAATTAAGTGCCCAGCTGGACCAGATGCGTCAGGAGTCGACCTTGATGATGACGGAAGTCACCAGAGCACAGCAGCAAACAAATGAAATTCAGTTAAAGTCTATACAAGTATATGAACCTGCTGTAGCGATGGAGGCTTCAGAGATGGAGGGACCTATGGATGGGCAAGATCAGCCTTTGAACTTGATAAATGAACTTGGGACAAACCTGATCTGGAAAGATGAAATGTGGTCAGATTTGGAAATGGGGGATGGATTGACACCCTCTATATGGTTATTTGGACTTTCCGAGTCTAGGGATGGGCCATCAGAGGATTGGAGTAGTCGAAGTCTCCAAGTTTTCTGGAAATTGGAAGAGGTATTATCTGCTGTCTGGCTTGGGTAATGGGTTTGGGATGGACTTGCTGCAAAGAGTCAAAAGCATCTTCTTGCTGGAGTATCCACGACTGAAAGGGAAATATCAACAAGAGTGGCGAAAGGGGCAAGAAAGAGACTTGAGGGCCTCGGACACGAGACAACCAGGTTAAGGAGCCGGATTATTGAGGTTAAAAGGACTGACAATCCCGGGTCCAGGGGAGGGAGGCTGGAAGTTGACTGGACTGAATCTGACTTATTATTTTTTATTTTTTAATATTGGGAATGTTTATAAATGTTTGAAGGATGTTGAATGAAATTATATGACTTAAGTAAGGATTGGTAAATGATTTGTAAAAAGGTAATGATGTAAGAATTTGCTAAATATGGAATATAAGCTTTGAGTTTTAAAGTTTTTATATGACAAGAGGGAAAATAGAACAAGGAAACGCAATGATAGATTGTTATGAAAAAACAGAAAGGATTTGCTGTAAAAATTAAATACTAAGAAACAAGAGAGGGGAGGAGGAGGAAGTCTAGAAAGGAAGTTAATGGAGATCGTAAAGGATTTTATATTTCTGTTTTTCTGTTTTTCTTTTTTTCTTTTTTGCGGCTGGGTTTTTTTCTTCTTTATTATTTCTGTATTACTTTTGTTTTTTTTTGTATTTTCAAACTTTTTTGGAAATTTTTGTTGTTACTTGTTACTTTTTGAAAATTTAATAAATATCAATTTAAAAAAAAAACAACAAAATTGTGGAAACCTTTTGGGGAAAGTGTGTTTCCGAGGTTTGAAGGCTCTTAACATCACTTTTTTTTTTTTTTTTAGTAATACCATAAAATTATATATCAATGGAAAGTTAATTTAATGAAGAATGTAATGCAACAAAATTTGTTCAATTATCTGTATTCTATCAAAAGTTATAGTCAAATAACCAGAAAAGGGAAGCACAACTTGCTTAGGTTGATTTGTAGTAGCGTTCGTTCATCTGAATGTAGCCACTGAGCATGAGTGTTTAGAGAGCCAATCGGGTGTTATGAGCCATCAAACCTCGGAAATACACTTTCCCCAAAAGGTTTCCACAATTTTGGCCACTAGTGTACATGAGTGTCTGTCTTTTGATCAAGATTTGGCGACTCTCTTTCTTGGTTCCATAAAAGTGTTGCTAAAGACACGGAATCAGAAGTACACATTTGAAAACCAACCAACAATGGACTCTTGCAGAATTCAAGACAGACCTTCCTGGGTGTTAAGAGTAGCAGTGGGGACCCTCTTAGGAGTTTCACTAACCTCAGACGTTTGGGACTAGGGTGGCATTCTTTTTGACAGCCCCTAAGCCAGGGAGGGCCAACTGCATGTGGCCCTTGAGGCCTTTTTTGGTGACCCTCGGCAACATTTGACACACACACCCCTGACGTCTTGCTGCCTTCCCAAATCTGGGTGAGCAAGGTGCTGGGCTTTGGGAAGGAGGCACGAGGGCTCTGACAGGGTCCTAGAGTCCTCCTTCCTCCTTCCCAAATCTTAGTTAGCACTTACCCAGCTTTGGGAGGGAGGTGGGAAGGCTCTGGAACCCTGTCAGTGTTAGGATATAGTTCCTTTCCACCTTAAAAGGGTACAGGCATGACTGTTGTGTGTCACATGCCTGTTTACTTCCAGCGCTTGCTGGGAACTTCTGTTTGCATATCGCTTTTGTGTTACTGCTGTTTTGCAGGAGACAAAGGGAAGCAGACATGTTTTCCTCTGTTCCTGAACTATGCTGAATAAAATGCTGTAGAAGAGTTTGGATTTGATATCCCGCTTTATCACTACCCGAAGGAGTCTCAAAGCGGCTCACATTCTCCTTTCGCTTCCTCCCCCACAACAAACACTCTGTGAGGTGAGTGGGGCTGAGAGACTTCAGAGAAGTATGACTGGCCCAAGGTCACCCAGCAGCTGCATGTGGAGGAGCGGGGAAGCGAACCCAGTTCACCAGATTACGAGTCTACTGCTCTTAACCACTACACCACACTGCTTACACATTTCTCTGTCAGCCTCTTTTGCTGTGAGAAGATTTACACACTCTGCTGACAGAGCGTGCACGGGTCTCAAAACGTATCTGAGGCTCGTGTTGCTGACTGATGCTGCTCTGTGACCTGGAGATCGCCTGGCAGCCAGCCAGTGGCTGGAGCCAGCTGGGGGCCTGCCTGATGCCCCCGTCTCCCCAGCAGTATCCCAACAGTCAGAGCCTCACTCCCCCTGCCTACTGCATGACAAGGCACTGTGTGGCCCACAGGCTTCCAGGCAAAGTACTCTTGCGGTCCACATGATTAAAAAGTTGAGCTGCCCTGTCCTGAACTGTGGCATTCCCTTTCCACAGAGGAGTGCCTGACACCTTTATAAGATAGCTTCCATCATTTTCTGAATAGGTACCTCTTTACACAGGGACACGGGTGGCGCTGTGGGTTAAACCACAGAGCCTAGGGCTTGCCGATCAGAAGGTCGGCGGTTCGAATCCCCGCGATGGGGTGAGCTCCCGTTGTTCGGTCCCTGCTCCTGCCAACCTAGCAGTTCGAAAGCACACCAGTGCAAGTAGATAAATAGGTACCACTCCGGCGGGAAGGTAAATGGCGTTTCTGTGCGCTGCTCTGGTTCGCCAGAAGCGGCTTAGTCATGCTGGCCACATGACCCGGAAGCTGTACGCCGGCTCCCTTGGCCAATAAAGCGAGATGAGCGCCGCAACCCCAGAGTCGGTCATGACTGGACCTAATGGTCAGGGGTCCCTTTACCTTTACCTTACCTCTTTACACCTGAAATAGTGGAGTTGGGAATTGCTTACATGAGAAGCTGTTTATGGGGGTTTGCTGCCTCTACATTCTGAAGCCAAGTGATGAAAGGACTCAACGCAACTATGAGGCAGAGTGAGAACACCATTGGCCCATTTCCTGAAGCTGGATACATGTTGCCCTTAGAACGTGTCCCCGTTTCATCTTTTCTCTAGCTTCCTGCGATCTGCGTGACAAATGGATTCAGAAATTTATTAGGAAAAGAGGTGGGGTGTTTTGTTTGTCTGCATCCTGGGTTGCTTCTGTTCTTTTCTATTCAGGGCGAGCCATCAAAGGAAAATGACAGAGAAACATAATTAGTTCATTTTGGTATTTGAAACCCACATAGTAATAAGGTCTGTTTGTGTGTGGGTGCGTGCGTGTATTTCTGTCCCAGCCAAGAAGGCGTAAGGAAAACCAGAAACCCATTGCCTTTAAAATTCAGAATTGGGGTGAGTTGAGTTGCAGAGCCAGAATCCTGCCCTTGCCCTGATCATAAAAGATCCTAGGAAAAACACGGGGAAAGGCAAGCGGGGGAGGGGGGAAGGCTTTAAAAATAAATGTGAAAGATATAAAGGTTCGTAATAAATAATAGAAGTCAGTTTTATTACTTTTTCACTTAGGTAGGAACAATTTTATGAAACTGCGGCTGTAGCAGAATGCTAATAGGTGAGTTTTAAGAAAATTACCTTATCATCCTTGACCCACAGAAAACTCGGCATGGAACAGGCAAGGAGAGATATTGAGCTTATCCACACAGAAAGACCTTGTTTTCATAGGTTCTGGATTGAAAGCAATGTAGAAATGTTTTGAAAAGACGATTCATAAAATGTTAAACATTTACTGCAGATCTATCTAGCTTACTTTCCAGAAGCAGGCACAATTCAAACACAGTGTATAGTTAACTTAGAGAATTCACAACCACAGGTTGCAATGAAAGCAACCAACTTGGGACAACTTTAAGGGGAGAATTAGAAAACCTATTGGAGAACAAGACCATCAATGTCCCCTTCATTGACTGGGCTCATGAACAAAACCATCAATGTCCCCTTCATTGACTGGGCTCATGAACAAGACCATCAATGGCCCCTTCATTGACTGGGCTCATGAACTACGCCAGCTTGGACCTAGCATTCCTCACCCACTGATGTTTTACTTCCCTTACAAAATGGAAACATGCCAAAGCAAAAAAATCATGCTTCATTATAGGAAACAACTCCTGTATCGGTCTCTACAGCCACAGCAGGTGCTGCAACCTCCCAACAGTTTGACTTCACCCCCCAAGATAAAATTCTCCACCGTCTCCCAGTGCAAGCCAGCAGGGCAGGTAACCTGCCAGTTCACTGCCCTCCTCCACTTAGGACAGGGGTGCCAACTTGAAAAAAATATTGTGGGGGCCCAGGTAAGCCCCGCCCTGCATAATTGATCACATGACGCAGTGCGCACACACCATTTAAATGGGAATGCCCATCAACTTTGTGGGGGCCCAACCCCCTCAGGTTTTTTATTGTGGGGGCCAAAGCTCCCTCAGCCCCTAGGAGTTGGCTCCTATGACTTAGGACAGGGGTAGGCAACCTAAGGCCCGAGGGCTGGATGCGGCCCAATCGCCTTCTCAATCTGGCCTGTGGATGGTCTGGGAATCAGTGTGTTTTTACATGAGTAGAATGTGTGCTTTTATTTAAAATGCATCTCTGGGTTATTTGTGGGGCATAGGAATTTGATCATCCCCCCCCCTCAAAATATAGTCCGGCCCACTACATGGTCTAAGGGACGGTAGACCAGCCCATGGCTGGAAAAGGTTGCTGACCCCTGACTTAGGATCACTCTGTGACACTGACCATCACAATGACAGGATTCCTATCCACGCTGCCACCAGACCTTTACCACCCAAATTGGAAATCATTCTAAAACAAATTGCCTGGATCTCATTGGCTGCATCTTCTTGAGCATCAGGCAACACCAATCTACAATAAACAGGATGAGGGATTTATTTGCCACTGAGGTCTGTAAGAAATGGAAGAAAATCGTTCAGATTTCTAAGTTCAGATATCATTCAGCATTCCCATTTAGGAGTACAAAAGCGACAAAGCTTGGATTGGGAGCTCACGAGAAGCCTGATGAAAACATGTCCTGTCCTCCTTCTTTTCAGAGTTGTCCTCTTAGTGACTTCTATGCTATGACAACAAACTTCCCGGCATCCTGATATGGCTACACAGAATAGTGATATAATTATTTTTGGCAGATGGTTCTGTGTGTCTTGGATGATTCTTCTTTCCTAATGTCTCTCTTCGACAGGAAGGGATCTTATTGACTGAGCTCTTTTTGAGGGAGCAAGATGCAGCTTTTATACAAAGCAATTACTATAAGGAGAGCAACCTGCAGAACTGTTGGAGCGGGGAGAAGAAATCTCTGTGAGAGGCTCAGTTTCCCACCGGTCATTGTTTTGCTACAGTATGTGTCAAAGTCAAGGTCAATCAAGAAGGTCAAATACCACTGTCAGAGAGCTGTTTCTAAGAAATGCTTAATGTTTTCTGTGGCACTGCAGCTTGAAGACAACGAGAGGGAGAAGGGAAAAACCTCAGGAAAGATGCTGTCATTGAGAGCATTGGGTGATGCCAAAAGGCAAATATTTCACAGGTCTGATAAACATGAGCAAGAGTTAAGACAACAATATAACACCACTCACATCAGATCTATGCATGCAAATGAATGCGAGATAGTAGAGTTCTGAGATGACAGAGTGAACTGCACCACTTTCCTCTGTTGTTGTTGTTGTTGTACATGCATTAGTTAAAATTGCATATCATCTGCGAATATTGGGAGAAATGTGCCTGGAAATACATACACTTTTTTTGCCATATGTTGTTGTTTAGTCATTTAGTTGTGTCCGACTCTTCGTGACCCCATGGACCAGAGCACGCCAGGCACTCCTGTCTTCCACTGCCTCCCGCAGCTTGGTCAAACTCATGCTGGTAGCTTCGAGAACACTGTCCAACCATCTCGTCCTCTGTTGTCCCCTTCTCCTTGTGCCCTCCATCTTTCCCAACATCAGGGTCTTTTCCAGGGAGTCTTCTCTTCTCATGAGGTGGCCAAAGTATTGGAGCCTCAGCTTCAGGACCTGTCCTTCCAGTGAGCACTCAGGGCTGATTTCCTTCAGAATGGAGAGGTTTGATCTTCTTGCAGTCCATGGGACTCTCAAGAGTCTCCTCCAGCACCATAAGGTCAAACCTAAGATCAAACCTATCCATTCTTGAGGAAATTCCTCTGTGCTTCCCTATAATTTTTTATAGTCACACAAAAGTGCAAACTGCAAGAAGAAAACTAGCATATATAACCTGCAACAACAAAAATAGCACATCAGAGAAAAAGTCTTCAAGAGTGATAGCTCAGCTGGTAAAACATGAGACTCTTAATCTCAGGGCCGTGGCTTCAAGCCCCACATTGGGCAATCCTGCATGGCAAGGGATTGGACTGGACGATTCTGGGCTCAAACAATTCTATGATTAGCCATGCCTTTTCATTGTGTGTAAGTCTGCAATATGTAAGGAAGGATATCATAAATGTCACCCACTGTCTAGAGTCTAGAACTCCTGATCTGAATGCAGATTCAGTCCCTAGCACCTCCAGCTAAAAAGGATTAGGTGGACTTCTGCCTAAGAACTTGGATAACCAGCAAAAACAATACAAGGCTAGCTGAACAAATACAGTGGTACCTCAGGTGACATCCCCTTCAGGTTACATACGCTTCAGGTTACATACGCTTCAGGTTACATATGCTTCAGGTTACATACTCCGCTAATCCAGGAATAGTGCTTCAGGTTAAGAACTTTGCTTCAGATTGAGAACAGAAATCGTGCTCCGGTGGCGCGGCAGCAACAGGAGGCCCCATTAGCTAAAATGGCGCTTCAGGTTAAGAACAGTTTCAGGTTAAGTTCGGACCTCCGGAACGAATTAAGTACTTAACCCGAGGTACCACTGTAGCGTGATACATATAAGCGCCTTGTGCCATTACAGTTTTTTGAAGGGGGGCATTTTGTACTGATGAGAGAAGGGGGTCATTTCGATACCACTGTATGCAGGCACTTGATGTCTAACAACTGTAGCTGCAGCCCACTTTTTAAATTCAAAACTACATTTGAAAACTGCTTCTAGCATCCAGGCAGACACAGCTTTTTTTTAAAAAAAATTGCAAAGTAAATACATCAATACCAAACCAGACATAAAGAATAATATAAAGGGGCGGGGGGTAAAGAAAAATAATGCAAAGAAAAGTAGACAAGAAAAGAATAAAGAAAATATAATATTTCAATACAATAAACACTATTTTACAAAATAATATTAATAGACTTCCATCACTTTCACATTAGAACCTTGTCTTTCTAAATAATAAACATCACTATAAAAAGAGTTGCAGCTGTTGCCACTGTAAAACAAGTACAGTGGTACCTCAGGTTAAGAACTTAATTCGTTCTGGAGGTCTGTTCTTAACCTGAAACTGTTCTTAACCTGAAGCACCACTTTAGCTAATGGGGCCTCCTGCTGCCGCTGCTCCACCAGAGCACGATTCCTGTTCTCACCCTGAAGCAAAGTTCTTAACCCCAGGTACTATTTCTGGGTTAGCGGAGTCTGTAACCTGAAGCGTATGTAACCCGAGGTATCACTGTATTCCCAAAAGGTATGTTTCTAGTCTTTTGCTATGTGAAGTTCTTAGTAACTTTTTTATTTCTTCATGGATCATGTCCCAGAACTTTCTGATCTCTGGACATGTCCACCACCTAGAAGGACAATCACTCCTTCAGAGCACAGGGTCTTCAGAGTGGTGTACACTCTGTTTGGAATAAACTGCTAGAGTTTCCTCTGAGATAATGTTTACACCAGTGATTGATTGATTGAAAATATTTCTATCCTGCTTTATATTAAATATAATAATCTCAAAACATCAAATAGTACATTACAGAATATCAAAATACAACATAAATATAAATGCAAAATGCAATAAAGATCCAGTTGTAAAGCTGGATAAATTATAGCAAAACAAAATTTTATCTCAAACATACCCCTCGCAACATTACAAATTCAAATCAAATGCAAAAGCACAATAAACATTCCTCATATAAAACATAATTAGCAAATAAACAAAGGCAGCCACATTTGCCTCAGTAACATTTCCCAAGGTCATCCTCAGCAAACGTCCACATACAACCCTCACTCCCAAACATTCCCACCAAACATGCCTAGATAACACAGGAAATAACCATAATAACTTCAATCCAAATACCGTATTTTTCGCTCTATAGGACACACTTTTTCTCCTCCCAAAATTAAGGGGAAATGTGTGTCCGTCCTATGGAGCGAATGCAGGCTCCTTGGCTTTGCGTTGCTTTCACTGAAGCCTGGAGAGTGAGAGGGGTCGGTGCGCACCAGTGCGAGTTCCCGCTGCGCTCCACAGGCTTCAGGTTCCTTTTGCTGAAGCTGGGAGAGTAAGACTCTCCTGACTTCAGCAGAGAGGGAGAGCTGCGCAGCGCCCCTTCAGCCAAGCAGGAGGAGAAATGGAAGGGGCTCCATTTCTCCTGCCGCTTCGCTGAAGGGGTGCTGAGCAGAGAGGGGGAGAATTTTTGTTCTTGTTTTCCCCCTCTAAAACAAGGTGCGTCCTATAGAGCGAAAAATACAGTAACTTTATTGTACTAGCCATTGGCCATGACAAATCTGAATCAAAAATAAAGACATGTAAAGGGATGCCATGTCACAAATAAAAGTATCCATTTAGATCTTCATCTCCCTTACAGTTCAACCCTATATTGTCCAGGGTCTTATTTCTGATCTTTTTGACCACTGGAGCAAAAAGGGCAACTTTGTGAGTCACTGAAAAATTTACATAGCTAAGAAGCCACAGGATCTTCTCTGCTGGGAAAGGACATCTTTCCTGTATGAATGGTAAGGTGAGAAATCACCTCCTGGGTCCAGTGTATAGTGGGCAATATAGTAAATAGTGCAATATGTCTTCTGCCCACATATGCAGAGTCTGTACGGTACATTGTTGTATTGTTTGTCCAGGATGGCAGAGGGATAACACATGAAATAAACATGTGTTACATGTGAAACAAAGAGGAGAGTCATTGCAGGCATATTGGGCCATGGTTCCTTTAGTGCAGAGGCTGGGAGTGGGTGGCGCTGTGGTCTAAACCACTGAGCCTCTTGGGCTTGCTGATCAGAAGGTCATCAGTTCAAATCTGTGCAACGGGGTAAGCTCTGTCCCAGCTCCTGCCAACCTAGCAGTTTCAAAGCACGCCAGTGCAAATAGATTAATAGGTACCGCTGTGGCGGGCAGGTAAACGGCATTTCCATGCGCTCTGATTTCTGTCACGGTGTTCCGTTGCGCCAGGAGAGGTTTAGTCATGCTGGCCACATGACCTGGAAAAGCTGTCTATGGACAAACGCTGGCTCCCTCGACCTGAAAGCAAGATGAGCGCCGCACCCCATAGTCGACTTTGATTGGACTTAACCATCCAAGTGTCAGTAACCTTTTAAAAAAACAACAACCTAGTGCAGAGGCTTAAGGTAAAGGTAAAGGGACCCCTGACCGTTAGGTCCAGTCGTGACCAACTCTGGGGTTGCAGTGCTCATCTCACTTTATTGGCCGAGGGAGCCAACGTACAGCTTTTGGATCATGTGGCCAGCATGACTAAGCTGCTTCTGGCGAACCAGAGCAGTACACGGAAACGCCGTTTACCTTCCCGCCAGAGCAGTACCTATTTATCTACTTGCACTTTGACATGCTTTCGAACTGCTAGGTTGGCAGGAGCTGGGACCAAACAACGGGAGCTCACCCCGTTGCAGGGATTCGAATCACCAACCTTCTGATCGGCAAGTCCTAGGCTCTGTGGTTTAACCCACAGCGCTACCCGCATCCCTAGTGCAGAGGCTTACCTTTGGGCTAATTTACCAATGCAAATGTGTCTGATGACAATGTTGCCGCCTACATACACTGTAGCATGAAAATGTCTAAAAGCCTGGTGATATATATTTTTTTAAGACTTTTTTTTTAATGATATTTATTAAAGTTTTAAAAAAAGTTATAAAAATAGAAAAAAGAGAAAAAGAAAAGAAAAGAAAAAATACAAAATACAGAAAAGTAAAAACACTTCTTTCATTTACTTGTTTCCCTGACCTCCTCACACCTCCCTTTTTTGTATTCCAATTCAGTTAGCTAATTCAGCAAATCCTTTCCCTCTTTGTTTTTATCCTAATCCTTTAACTTAATATATTGTAACTTTGAATTCTCACCTGTTAACAATCCATTTTTACATACTCCTTTGTAACATTGCTGCTAAAACCACTTAACTTCATTCTGACATCATTCTAACATTCATTAATTTTACAGTATTTCTGTAAATAGTCTTTAAATTTCTTCCAATCTTCTTCCACCAACTCTTCTCCCTGGTCTCGGATTCTGCCAGTCATTTCCTCCAGTTCCATATAGTCCATCACCTTCATCTGCCATTCTTCCAGGGTGGGTAGATCTTGTGTCTTCCAATACTTTGCAATAAGTATTCTTGCTGCTGTTGTAGCATACATAAAGAAAGTTCTATCCTTCTTTGACACCAATTGGCCAACCATGCCCAGGAGAAAGGCCTCTGGTTTCTTCAGAAAGGTATATTTAAATACCTTTTTCATTTCATTATAAATCATCTCCAGAAAGCCTTAATCCTTGGGCATGTCCACCAAAGGTGAAAGAATGTGCCTTCAGTTTCTTTACATTTCCAACATTTATTATCGGGCAAATGATAGATTTTTGCAAGCTTGACTGGGGTCATGTACCACCTGTATATCATTTTCATAATATTCTCTCTTAAGGCATTACATGCCGTAAACTTCATACCTGTGGTCCATAACTGTTCCCAGTCAGCCATCATTATGTTATGTCCAACATCTTGTGCCCATTTAATCATAGCAGATTTCACCGTTTCATCCTGAGTATTCCATTTCAACAGCAAGTTATACATCTTTGACAAAATCTTGGTTTTGGGTTCTAACAGTTCTGTTTCTAATTTTGATTTTTCCACCTGGAAGCCAATTTTCTTGTCCAAATTATATGCCTCCATTATCTGATAGTAATGAAGCCAATCTCGCACTTTATTTTTTAGTTTTTCAAAACTCTGCAATTTCAATCTGTCTCCCTCTTGTTCCAAAATTTCCCAATATTTCGGCCATTTGGCCTCCATATTGAGCTTTTTCTGAGCCTTCGCTTCCATTGGTGACAACCACCTTGGGGTTTTATTTTCAAGTAGGTCCTTGTATCTTATCCAGACATTAAACAATGCTTTCCTGACAATATGATTTTTAAATGCTTTATGTGCTTTGACCTTATCATACCATAAATATGCATGCCATCCAAATACATTATTAAAGCCTTCTAAATCCAAAATGTCTGTGTTTTCAAGAAGCAGCTATTCTTTCAGCCAGCAAAAAGCTGCTGATTCATAATAAAGTTTAAGGTCTGGCAGGGCAAATCCGCCTCTTTCCTTTGCATCCGTTAGTATTTTAAATTTTATTCTAGGCTTCTTGCCCTGCCAGACAAATCTAGAAATATCTCTCTGCCACTTCTTGAAGCAATCCATTTTATCCAAAATTTGCAATGTTTGAAACAAAAATAACATTCTAGGCAATACATTCATTTTTATCGCAGCAATACGGCCTAGCAGTGAAAGCTTTATCTCACTTGCAGAGTTAGCTGTCAAAAAGTACTCTATTCACCAACAGCGCATTTCACAGTACGGCATTCTTATTGTTCATTGGCATCCCGTTCCCAGGTTTTAAGCGGTGGATTTTAGCTTCCTTTCCTCTCTTTTTGCAGGAAAATACAGTTCACACCTTTCCCCCCTCCTCTCCTGCAGCCAAGGGGGAAATCACTTGTTTTGATGTTAGAATTGTAGTCCTTTTCGAACGTCTTTCAAGGTTTTAGCTTACACGTTCATTGCTTTACTCTATTTACAAAGAATGGAAGGCAGACTTCCTGTTTATGCCTCCCCGCTTTGGTATCAAATTACGTCTTTGTTCTCCTTTATTTCCGAAATTAACCTACTCACGGGTAGTTGTTTTTGTAGCCAAATTGTCACAGGAAAAAGGTAGCGCTCTCCGGTAACGGCTGTGCGGCTTCGCTCCACGGAAGAAGCAGTTGACTCTCAGTACCGTGCTGCATCCCCGCTTCACTCCGGAGCCCGTAATTGGGCTCCTTTGCAGATTGGGGGGGCGCAAAAGGTGCCCGCCGAGTCCCACGGTCACAGGCTTCACCCGCCTGTGTTTTTTTCAAGGGTCCCCACTTCGTATTTTTTTTAAGACTTAAGTGCACCAGAGGTAGCAGGAGAGGATACAAATGTCATCAACAAGCACATGGCGTGGCGCAAAGGACGAGTTGAATGTGATGAGGTACAGTGCTCAGTCCTTATTCAGATTTGTGGATTGGACCATTAACGGATCTTGGGCAATGCCAAGGTGACCTTGAAGGGCAACTGGGCTCTACTTAATCCTTCCTTATCTAATATGTTTATCTTATCACAATCCTTCCCCCCGCCCTTCCACCAGGCTGCCAATCTTGCCAGATGCAGATTGCTTACCCCAAGGTCATTTTCACAGAGGGTGCTTCAGTTATGTTTTGCATCTCTTACTACTGAATGACAAAGCTACATTGATGTACAGTCAATCTGATAATGTTGCCACCCCCATTTTGCAGCAGCATTCACAAGTGACACAGTCTAGAAGAGGAGGTATTGTTAGTGTGACTTATGAAGACAAGGTGGACATGCTACAAAAAATAGCATTTGAGGTTGCGCAGAAGCATGTCAACGAGAGATGAATGGTGGCAGAAAACCTTTCCTGAGCACTTTTTATTAAGAAACACTAACATTTCTCCTCAATAAAGGGTTTCTTCAAAACGCATATCTACTTGATCGCCTGTCTTTTTCCACCTTGGGATTCATACCTGGCCGCCCTGCAAAATGCTCTCTTGGTCTTTTGCAGACACTACAGGTGATGTCTTCAAAAGCATCTGCAGAACGAGACAGCTGCATTAATTGGGGGTGGGGAACATCTGCGCATAAAACCAGTTGGCCTATTCCACCCTATGATGTTCTGACTAATTAGCCGAAGCAAGGGACACAACCTGTAGGTTGTATGTATCCCAAGAGCATTTCCAGATGACCTGATTATTGAGCATTCATCCCGATCTGTTTGTGGGTAATTAGATGGCGTTGGCTATTTAGCAAACTGTATGGTTAGATGGTGTTGCGTCAAAGTGAGTGTTCTCACACTAGAACTCGTGGTCCTCTAATGCTGGAAGATTCGGGACAGATAAAAGAAAGTAGTTCTTCACACAGTTAAGGCAGCGTTGGCCACCAACCCTGGATGGCTTTAAAAGCCAATTGGAGAAATTCATGGAGAAGAAGCCTATCAGTGGCTACTTCTCTGTTCTGCTGGATACATCCTTACACAGTAGTACCTCTGGTTACGTACTTAATTCGTTCCGGAGGTCTGTTCTTAACCTGAAACTGTTCTTAACCTGAAGCACCACTTTAGCTAATGGGGCCTCCCGCTGCTGCTGCGCTGCCGCCACACAATTTCTGTTCTTATCCTGAAGCAAAGTTCTTAACCCGAGGAACTATTTCTGGGTTAGCAGAGTCTGTAACCTGAAGCATCTCTAACCTGAAGCATCTGTAACCCGAAGTACCACTGTATACGAAACTGAGTTAACTGAACCAGCGCCATTTGTATTTTCTGGTGGTTTTCGAAGCTTCATTTTCATTCAAATTAAAGAGTCCTTATTTTGCATTACTTCATGATCTCTCTCCTATGTGTTTCATGGTAGTCATTATCCATGGCCAGTCAAGTTGTACTTCTTTGTCTTATATTTCCAATTCCAGCTGTTGAAGACTGGTGCCCACCCCACAGCCTTCCAAATCTTGAATGGTCATAGGGTTGATTTTCAGGGGAAATGGCATTGGATCATCAGGTGGTCTTATAAGACTCTCAGTCCAGTTGGTACCAGTAACTGAACTATAGCGCAAACTGCACTGACTTGATGCAGGTATTCTGTGGTTCTTTTTCATGCTGGGATAGGAAGGTCTAGCCATCTCAGATGGTTCAGGGCACTGGGTAGGGAATGGTGGAAATTTCCCAACCAGGATTTCTTAAGAGAGATTGTGAAAATGAAGAGGCCAGTAGTTGATTGAAGAGAGCTTCCATGTCCCTTGGTGGTGGTATTGTTCAGTGTGCTAAGTGGTGCGGACGTTGGACTTGAATGGTTGTTTGCAGCCGATAGAGTTCTTCCACTACCGCCACTCGTCTGAGAGGGTAAAAGCAGCGCCAGGAGCAAAAGCCCCAAGCTGAGCCACGTAGCAAGTGCCGTGCCCATGTCTAATCGTGCTGCGAGCCCCCAACTTCCTCCGAAGCTGCTCCTGAGATGCAGACACATAGTTCCATTTGTCAATGGCTACAATTATGATGGCTATGCTCTGTCTCCACGGTTGGAGGCAGTAATGCTTTTGCAGTCAAATGCTCTACCACTGAGCTATACCCTCAGGCAGTATACCTGAAGGAGCGTCTCCACCCCCATCATTCTGCCTGGACACTGAGGTCCAACTCCACGGGTATTCTGGAGGTTCCCTCATTGCGAGAAGTGAGGTTACAGGGAACCAGGCAGAGGGCCTTCTCGGTAGTGGGGCCTGTTGGGATACTGCCAGGGAGACGGAGGCATCAGGCAGGCCACCAGTCGTCTCCGGACGATCACCGGTTTCCCGTGGAACAGCATCAGTCAATTAGCGACAAGAGCCTCAGCGACATTCCAAGAATCGTGCAGTCTCCACAACGAAAGTTGCAGACAGGAGAGCATATTTACAGCTCTATTCAATGTAGATCAGAACAAAGGAAAAATATGACTGCTTGCCTCCGTGTCCAGGAAAACAGACAGAACAAAAGCTATATACAAAACAGAAGTTCCTAGAGGGAAGCTGGAAGTGAACAGGCATGTGATACACAACAGCCTGTTCCCTTTTTAAGGTGGAACGGAACTATGCTAACAGGGCCCACCCTGTGGAACGCCCTCCCATCAGATGTCAAGGAGATAAACAACAATCTGACTTTTAGAAGACAGCTGGAGGCAGCCCTGTTGAGGGAAGTTTTTAATGTTTGATGTTTTATCAATGTTGGGAGCTGCCCAGAGTGGCTGGGGAAGCCTGGCCAGATGGGTGGGGTATAAGGAAGGAAGGAAGGAAGGAAGGAAGAAACGAACAAACAAACAAACGAACAATTCTGAATGCCAGTTGCTGGAAGCTGCAGCCGGGATGATGATGATGAAGAAGAAGAGTTTGGATTTGATATCCCGCTTTATCACTACTCGAAAGAGTCTCAAAGAGGCTAACATTCTCCTTTCCCTTCCTCCCCCACAACAAACACTCTGTGAGGTGAGTGGGGCTGAGAGACTTCAAAGAAGTGTGACTAGCCCAAGGTCACCCAGCAGTTGTATGTGGAGGAGTGGGGAAGTGAACCCGATTCACCAGATTACGAGTCTACCGGTCTTAACCACTACACCACACTAGCTCTCTGGATGAGTGTTCTTTGTGCTCAAATCCTGCTTGCCTGGTTGGCATCTGGCTGGCTACTGTGACCACAGGAAGCAGGATATCTCCCATCAAAATGCAACCTGAATTTGAAAGTATGTGACTGGATCCCACCTGGACAATAGCAGCTATGTGGAGATATCCCATGACTCAAAAGACTTGAAAGTCTGAATGAACATTAGCTGCAAGATGAAAAGCTCCTGTTTGCTTAAATTGTTCTTAAAAAAAGCTATCCTATTAGAAATATCTACCTCATTATCTTTTATTAATAAGCCAAGGGGCCATTATTCAAACTATGGGTAAGACGGTTCTTTGCTATATAACATTTTGTCGTTAGGGTTCAGAATGAAAAATGTTTGTGGTAGAAGATAAATGTGAGTAGGCACCGAACTAGCATCTTATTTTATTTTTCAACACTCACCAAAAAAATCTGCATAAAAGGGAAATCTGGCTGCTTTCATTGAACAACAGCTCGGAACACAATCTGCTCCAATAAACCAGATCTGCTTTAAAGATTTTGCTCCCAGTTTCCCAGCTGGAACTGTTTGATTAATTGAAAGAAGAATAAAACGCTCACAGTTTTGACTAGTGAGTGGCAGGAATATATTTCTTTATGATGGACACAACCCCTCAGGACAAGGCTTCTGGGATCCGCCAAGCAAAGTAGCATCTGAATGTTAATGCAGCGTACTTTAATTGAAAGTGGGATCCAGCAAAGTATAAATGATAAACAATTTAAGCAGGGTTGACCAGAATGTCGGTCCAGCTTAGCCCAGCCTAGGTTTCAAAATAAGTAAATTTAGGAAGAAATCAATATCAATAAAAGATGAAGATAAAAAGACATCAAATTCTTTCAACTTTTATGGCGGGGGAACAAATTACAGCATGTGAGAAAATCCAGAAACTCTTTTCAAAGTTTATGGCATATAGGCAATAGCAAAGTTGGTAAGCCCAGGGAGTGCAGTGAGCCAAGAATGGGATTCTCCAGTGTGCTAAAGCTGTTAGAGTACAGTGGTACCTCGGGTTGCGAACAGTCCTGCTTACGAACGCTTCGGTTTATGAACTCCACAAACCTGGAAGTAGGTGTCCTGGGTTGCGAACTTTGCCCCAGGATACGAACACAATCCGCTTCCAGGGCCGCGGGAGGCCTATGTAAGGAATGCATGCCTCGGTTTAAGAATGCTTCGGGTTAAGAACAGACTTCCGGAACGAATTAAGTTCATAACCCGAGGTACCACTGTACTGGGCTAGGAATCGGGAGACCAGGGTTGGTCTTTGTTAGGTTTCTGTTTATTGCCACTGTGCAGTGCTTGGAGTCACAAGACTCTGTTTACATTCCAGACTGTTGGAAGTCTCATGGGAGATGGATGTTGATATTACTGGTTTCCTGTTTTCTTTGTTCCAGTTGGTTCTCTGCTTTCACAGAGAGCAGATGTATTTTCTTTTCTGTCCTGCATAGTTAGAAATAAAATGTAGCAATGTAGCTCATACGTTTTTCGTCTTCAGCTGCTGCTGTATACTCTGTGTAATGAGGGAACGTGCCTGGAGCCTCATCAAAGGCTCAGGTCGTTAATCACCGTCGGAGGACTCGACCGGAGAAGTAGCTTGGTCGAAAGCAAGTCCGACAGTCTTGAAGCCTACCAGGTTACCTTGGGCCAGTCACTATTTCTCAGCCAAACCTTCAGGATTCCTGTGAGGATAAAATAGAGAGGAGAAGTGTGTATGCCACCATAATAAGAATATTTAATCATTTATTATTTATACCCTGCCCATCTGGCTGGGTTTCCCCAGCCACTCTGGGTGGCTTCCAACCGAATATTAAAAACAATACAGCAACAGACATTAAAAGCTTCCCTAAACAGGGCCGCCTTCAGTTGTCTTTTAAAAGTATAATAGTTGTTTATTGCCTTGACAACTGCTGGGAGGGCATTCCACAGGGCAGGAGCCACTACCAAGAAGGCCCTCTGCCTGGTTCCCTGTAACCTCACTTCTTGCAGCGAGGGAACTGCCAGAAGACCCTTGGCACTGGATCTCAGTGTCCGGGCTGAACGATGGGGGTGGAGAAGCTCCTTCAGGTATACTGGACCGAGGCAGCTTAGGGCTTTAAAGGTCAGCACCAACACTTTGAATTGTGCTCAGAAACGAACTGGGCTCCTTGCAGAAAAGATGGGGTGTAAATGTAATATAAAACTGATGAACAAGGGCAATTACAGTGATCTGAAAGAAATGTGTTGAGTGAATTATCCCCTGTGATCCTTGTGCATGTGTTTTTTAGAAGTGCAAACAGCAGCCACTTTGTGTCTAGAGGGAGATCACAGCAGACAGGGAGGGAGGGTTTAACCTTTTCCTCCCCCAGATGAAAATTGCTCCTCTGTAGTTCCTAATTGAACTAGGAATAATATGAGTTTTCCTCCCAATAGTGGCTGCAATTTATGGGTTTTTAAAAAGTTTTTTTTTTTAAAATGCATTTAACATCTCATTTGATTTGACCCCCAGATGAACAAGAATTACTGCATTATACCTTGAAAGTGCGGGTTGTTTCTAAACACATTCCCTTGAAAAGAAGGTTTTTTCGAAAAATGCATTGGGCCTACAATAAAGTGCATCTGTGATGGACAAATCATGGGTTAGCCTCCAGGTGACCCAGAAACCAATCAGAGCTGGGCGGAGTGTCTTCCAATCAGGAGAGAGAGTGGAGAGTTGAATGTTAGAATTAGACAGTCTAACTGTCAGATAGGGCTTGTCTGTCAGTGTTAGTTAGGGCATGGACAGTGCCTAGTTAGAGATCCATTTAGAGCCTGGTTAGAGCTGAATTATGGTCTAGCTAGGCAGGGTAACCCAGATTGTTTTTCTTAGGGGAAAGTAAAAATTCTAGAAGGCGCTGAAAGTGTAGGACCAATAGCCATTCTAGAAGGAATCAGTCTATTTAAAGACAGGTTTAAAATGAGAATTTCAATAAAGTTTTTGGCTTATTTTTGTGAAGAGTGTGTGTTCATAACAAAGTGTTCTGCCATGAGTAGGTGGGTTATGAGCTCTTTTTGATGTGAGTGGGGATTATTATCTAAAAGAATCACAGCCAGACATTGGAGAGACCTGTCAGGAGTAAGCATGGACCAGGCTTCCTCAACCTCAGCCCTCCAGATGTTTTGAGATTACAGTTCCCATCATCCCTGACCACTGGTCCTGGTAGCTAGGGATCATGGGAGTTGTAGGCCAAAAACATCTGGAGGGCCGAGGTTGAGGAAGCCTGGCATGGACCAATGGTATCAAATAGTATGAGAAACAGCCCTATTAGAAAAACTAACTAATAAACTGAAACTGACATGGGGACAAATAGAAGAAGACGCCTTCACCCCAGTATAGTTCCCCTTTATCACATACAGTGGTACCTCGGGTTAAGAATTTAATTCGTTCCGGAGGTCCCTTCTTAACCTGAAACCATTCTTAACCTGAGGCGTGCTTTTGCTAACGGGGCCTCCCACTGCTGCCGCGACACCAGCGCATGATTTCCATTCTCATCCTGGAGCAAAGTTCTCAACCTGGAACAACTACTTCCTGGTTAGCGGAGTTTGTAACCCGAAGCATCTGTAACCTGAAGAGTCTGTAACCCAAGGTACACTGTACACAGCCCAACACGACAACAAGAATAATCCACCAACAGCATACGAATCAATCTGGCTAACCTGACTGAAACAAACACACACACCCCACTCACACACAAAAACAAATCTCACTACAACCAACCAAAGACAAGCAGCCACACCCTAGGCCCACCCCAGCCTCTCTCACAACCAAGGAAATACAACAAGCGAATAGTAAGAGAACCCACACAAGTAACACTGACACAAAACCCCACACATACAATAAGTAGAATACAGTGGTACCTCAGGTTACATATGCTTCAGGTTACATACGCTTCAGGTTACAGACTCCGCTAACCCAGAAATTTTACCTCGGGTTAAGAACTTTGCTTTAGGATGAGAACAGAAATTGTGTGGCGGCGGCGCAGCGGCAGCAGGAGGCCCCATTAGCTAAAGTGGTGCTCAGGTTAAGAACAGTTTCAGGTTAAGAACAGACCTCAAGAACGAATTAAGTACTTAACCTGAGGTACCACTCACCATTTCCCCTTCCTCTTTTCTTCCTAACCTAACACACTGTATGCAAAACTAATGTCTCACAACAAATGAAACTGATCTGTAGGAAACACAACTTGAAAGAAGAGACAATGCACGTATTTTTGTAAACTAAGAAATCTTTAATAAAAAATTATTTTTTTAAAACAAAACAAAGTGTTCTGCCTTATTGGAGTACCTGTTAAGCTATGAACCTCATCAAGTATAAATAAATGTTCTCGGTTTGTTCCCAAAATGCCTCATCCATGTGGTCACAGGCTCTTCTTCCACATAATTGCAATGCCTTGCTGCTGGTTATTAAGAAACATCACCGCAGAGAGATAATAACAGACCTCTTAAGTGTTCTGACAGGAAGAGTCAGAAGTTTTGAAACCATCTCAAAACCCTGTCACATCACATCACTCCCATCTTTACTGAGGGATGTTGTCACAACATCTCTAAGCACCTGGAGTTTTCTTCCCCATCTCTCAAGGAATGATGCCTGTGAACCCAGTTACATCCATCTGCCAGGGCTAATAACCATTGATAGACTTATTCACAAGTGTGAATTTTTCAAATCTCCTTTTGAAGAAATCCAAGGCTCCCGCGATTCCTATCCATGTAAGAGGGCTTTGTATGAGACTAACAGGATTCACCTGATGTCTTTGTCTTTGTCAAAGCTATGGTTTTCCCAGTAGTGATGTATGGAAGTGAGAGCTGGACCATAAAGAAGGCTGATCGCTGAATAATTGATGCTTTTGAATTATGTTGCTGGAGGAGACTCTTGAGAGTTCCATGGACTGCAAGAAGATCAAACCTATCCATTCTGAAGGAAATCAGCCCTGAGTGCTCACTGGAAGGACAGATCCTGAAGCTGAGGCTCCAATACTTTGACCACCTCATAAGAAGAGAAACTCCCTGGAAAAGACCCTGATGTTGGGAAAGATGGAGGGCACAAGGAGAAGGGGACGACAGAGGACGAGATGGTTGGACAGTGTTCTCGAAGCTACCAGCATGAGTTTGACCAAACTGCGGGAGGCAGTGGAAGACAGGAGTGCCTGGTGTGCTCTGGTCCATGGGGTCACGAAGAGTCGGACACGACTAAACGACTAAACAACAACAACAGGATTCACAGATGCTCAAAGGTTTTGGGTGGGTCTGCTAAAGATATAATATGCATAAAATGCTATGTTTGAATGCACTGTATTTGAAACACTATCAACGTGGGAGATTTTGCAGTCAAACCGAACAATGCAGGTCTATGAGAGTTGGTAAATGAAGGAGTTAAGGACCACAGAGCTGTTATTTTCTAGAGAAGGCTCAACTAGGTCAAAGGTCAACTAGGTCTTTGGAGAGAGAGGAAGCAAGGGCAGTTTCCTTTTTTTAAAAAAATACATCTTTATTGGTTTAAAATACAATCTTACAATAAAGGTAAATACTACAAAGTTAAGCACAGAAAAGAAAAGAAGAAAAAAGAAAAGAGAAAAATTCTGCACATCCAAAAATACAAAAAGTTTAAAAGTAACAAGAAGAAAAAAATAACAATTTAAAATACCAGATATTTATACAACATCATATCTTATCCAATAAAGTCTTCTGTGAAAAGCTTCCAATCCTTCTCATTATGCCTTTTCTATTGTCTTGATTTTATCACGCAGCTTATTTCTTTTTTCATATATACCGCTAAGATGTTTATTCTATTTATTTATTATACATAAATATCATTCAATTATGATAGGATGGTCTCATTTTTACAATATAGTCTTATATATTTCTTAAATATTTTCCATTCTCTGTATACTTTTTGATTTAAGGTTCCCCTGACTTTTCCACTCAGCTTTGCTAATTGGAAATACACTATCAAGGCAGTTTCCTGTTCCTTTCTGTCTCTTCTCTTTGAAGAAGTTGGTTGCCTGGTTGAACGCTGAGTGATCGGTTTGCAAATAAAATGGAGGAAGCTTCCATTTGAATCCTATATCTGCATTTTAGGTCCCCATACTTCCTGATTCTACTTGCATATAAAGAAAATGTACTGTTAGAAGCAGACATATGGGGCTGGGATTCCAGACTTCAGTATTTTGTAACCAAGAATGCTGCTAGGTGTATCTGGGAAAGATTTACCAAGCACTTTGGAACCCTTGGTCATGAATGTCTTGATATCTGGAATAGTGTCTGGGCAAGGTATTGGGAGGAAAATGCTGGGCATCTATTGGTTCATGAATTGATTTTTTTAATCAATTAATTTTTCTAATAGAAAAATGGATGAAGCATCCTTCTCCAAATGGTGCCCACTACTCCTATCAACCCTAGCAAGACCTGGAGGGCACCAAGTTGAGGGAGGCTGGAATAAGCTGGGATCAGCTTATGAAGAAATTCATAAAAAGAGAGGATTTTCAACAAGCAAGCAATGCAGCAGGCAAATGGAGATGCTTTTACTGTTTATCAGAATATGCCCTGTGGTTTGGTAGAAGTCTATTTTTGTAACCCTGTTCTTTTCTCTAAGATAGCTCTGTTTAATTTGCTTGCTGCTTTTTAAAACAAAATTAATTAAAATAATAATAGTAAAACAAAAAACAAAAAACATTCCCTCAGTTAAATTGGAATTCAGGAGGAAAAGAACAATAGAGGAATAGACCTTGTCTAGGGTTGGGATCATAGCAACATTGCTGTCAGCTCTTTTTGTTCCCAAAGTCTTTTTCTTCACTTTCATCTCATAGTTGACCTGGGGACTGTATTCAGATCCTGGGAATCTCCCACCACAAAGATCCTGACGTTTATCATCAAAAACCTGAAAACGGCAACACTCTGAAGGAACTGAAATAGCACTAATTCAGCCCTCACTATTTCTGTCCATATATCAAGAATTTTCAAGAGAAAACTCTCACACAACGAGATTCACAAATTCAGACTGCTAGAATGAATACGTACAACATACTCAACAACTCTAAGTGGTCATCCTCCATGAGAGCCAGTGTGGTGTAGTGGTTAAGAGCGGTAGACTCGTAATCTGGGGAACCGGGTTCGATTCTCCGCTCCTCCACATGCAGCTGCTGGGTGACCTTGGGCCAGTCACACTTCTTTGAAGTCTCTCAGCCCCACTCACCTCACAGAGTGTTTGTTGTTGTTTTTTTATAAGATATTTATTAGGATTTTTTTAAATATTACAATAAAAAATGAAAAAGAAAAAAAATACAAAATAAAAATGATTAAAAACACTCAGATTTTCCATTGCTTATTTTTCTTTAGCTTGTTTCCCGGACCTCCTCATACCTCCCTTTTTTGTATTCCAGTTCAGTTTGTTGGTTCAGCAAATCCTTACCCTCTTTGTTTATCCTAATCTTTGGTCTTAAAATAATAACGTTAGATTTTTACCTCTTAATAACCCCTTTTTCATATTCCCTTGAAGCATTACAGTTAGAAACCACTTAATTTCTATCCAACATCGTTCTAACATTCATTAATTTTACAGTATTTCTGTAGATAATCTTTGAACTTCTTCCAATCTTCTTCCACCGACTCTTCTCCCTGGTCTCGGATTCTGCCAGTCATTTCTGCCAGTTCCATATAGTCCATCAGCTTCATCTGCCATTCTTCCAGAGTGGGTAAATCTTGTGTCTTCCAGTACTTTGCAATGAGTATTCTTGCTGCTGTTGTGGCATACATAAAAAAGGTTCTATCCTTCTTTGGCACCAATTGGCCAACTATGCCTAGGAGAAAGGCCTCTGGTTTCTTCAATAAGGTATATTTAAATATCTTTTTCAATTCATTATATATCATTTCCCAGAAAGCCTTAATCCTTGGGCATGTCCACCAAAGGTGAAAGAATGTACCTTCAGTTTCTTTACATTTCCAACATTTATTATCGGGCAAATGATAGATTTTTGCAAGCTTGACTGGGGTCATGTACCACCTGTATATCATTTTCATAATATTCTCTCTTAAGGCATTACATGCCGTAAACTTCATACCTGTGGTCCATAACTGTTCCCAGTCAGCCATCATTATGTTATGTCCAACATCTTGTGCCCATTTAATCATAGCAGATTTCACCGTTTCATCCTGAGTATTCCATTTCAACAGCAAGTTATACATCTTTGACAAAATCTTAGTTTTGGGTTCTAACAGTTCTGTTTCTAATTTTGATTTTTCCACCTGGAAGCCAATTTTCTTGTCCAAATTATATGCCTCCATTATCTGATAATAATGAAGCCAGTCTCGCACTTTGTTTTTTAATTTCTCAAAACTCTGCAATTTCAGTCTATCTCCGTCTTGTTCCAAAATTTCCCAATATTTCGGCCATTTGGCCTCCATATTGAGCTTTTTCAAAGCTTTTGCTTCCATTGGTGACAACCACCTTGGGGTTTTATTTTCCAATAAGTCCTTGTATCTTATCCAGACATTAAACAATGCTTTCCTGACGATGTGATTTTTAAATGCTTTGTGTGCTTTGACCTTATCATACCACAGATATGCATGCCATCCAAATACATTGTTAAAACCTTCTAAATCCAAAATGTCAGTGTTTTCAAGAAGCAACCATTCTTTCAACCAGCAGAAAGCTGCTGATTCATAGTAAAGTTTAAAGTCTGGCAGGGCAAATCCACCTCTTTCCTTTGCATCTGTTAATATTTTAAATTTTATTCTAGGCTTCTTGCCCTGCCAGACAAATTTAGAAATATCTCTCTGCCACCTCTTGAAACAGTCCATTTTGTCCACAATTTGCAGTGTTTGAAACAAAAACAACATTCTAGGCAATATATTCATTTTTATCGCAGCAATACGGCCCAGCAGTGAAAGCTTCAAATTTGACCAAATTTCCAAATCTTTTTTCACTTCAGCCCAGCATTTTTCATAGTTGTCTTTAAATAAATTCCCATTTTTTTGCTGTCATGTTAATCCCCAAATATTTAACTTTCTTAACCACTGTTAAACCTGTCTCATTCTGAAACCTCTCTCTCTCCATTGGTGTTAAATTTTTCTCTAAGACCTTGGTCTTTAACTTATTCAACTTAAATCCTGCAACTTGACCAAATTCTTGAATCAGTTCTAAAATTCTTTTGGTACTAGATTCTGGCTCCTGTAACGTCAACACTAAGTCATCTGCAAATGCTCTCAGTTTGTACTGTTTGGCTCTGACCTGTATACCTTTAACCAACCGGTCCCTTCTAATCATGTTCAGCAGAACCTCCAGGACCGATATGAAAAGCAATGGGGAAATTGGGCAGCTTTGTCTTGTCCCTTTTTCTATCTTAAATTCTTCCGTCACCACATTATTTACAATTAGTTTAGCCTTTTGTTCTGAATAAATTGCACTTATACCATTTTCAAAACCTTGGCCTACCCCCATCCCCTGTAGGTTCTTCTTCATAAAACTCCAAGAGATATTATCAAAACAGAGTGTTTGTTGTGGGGGAGGAAGGGGAAGGAGAATGTTAGCCGCTTTGAGACTCCTTAAAGGGAGTGAAAGGTGGGATATCAATTCCAAACTCTTCTTCTTCTTCTTCATGCTCATCAACATTATATGCAAGTACAGTGGTACCTCAGGTTAAGTACTTAATTCATTCTGGAGGTCCTTTCTTAACCTGAAACTTTTCTTAACCTGAAGCACCACTTTAGCTAATGGGGCCTCCCGCTGCCGCCATGCCGCCAGAGCACGATTTCTGTTCTCATCCTGAAGCAAAGTTCTTAACCTGAAGCACTATTTCTGGGTTAGCGGAGTCTGTAACCTGAAGCATATGTAACCTGAAGCGTATGTCACCCGAGGTACCACTGTAATGTTAATTATATGGTCTCCAAAAATTCACCTTGGCTCCTCAGGCTTATAATATATTTGGTATTGAACAAACCGGCCTGCGATTTGAAAGATTGCAAAGCTGTATCAAAGGGAAAAACACCAAAAGCTCGAGTCCTCTTCTGGACAGAGAGATGTACACAGCACAGCATTTGCTGTCCATCCCCCTCCAGCTCTGATCAGAGTCAGTCTCATCCTGTTAAAGTAATGTTTAATTAGCATGGGCTGTGGAAGCAAGGCCAATCAATATGGGGACCCCAAGATGTGTTCACAAGCAATTCTTTCAGCTGTCCTGATAGCGGAATATGCCATCCATCTTCGCTCCGCTGTCAAGAGTAGGCGAAGAGGGCTTTGCTCATTTCACTTGCCTCATTTCAGCTCCTGCATGACATTCCCTACCCTTGACATACCCCATCCTGCAAATCAATTATGACTGGCATTAGTTCCTTTCCCCCCCCCTTGCTTCACCCCTCTCAGATATCAGGTCCGTGAACATCAAGGATTCGCTTTTATGCTTTATGTCCGCTTCTTTCAAATCTACTTGTTTCACCTGCTTCTAAAGCGTAGCTGCTGCCTTTGAATGTCAGCCGCATTCCCGTCTCCCATGCAGTTTTAAATTATTGCCGCTGCTGGTGGAAATAAATAAAAAAATAAATACATGGGGAAAATTTCCCGGGAACCTCTTTTGATGCTTCGATCTGGTGCCCAGGGTCAAAATGAATGCACTGTCTTTTAATTCCCCATAAAATGGAGCAGGGCCCCAATTAATAACCTTTGGCTCTGACTAATTGCTTCCACCCATCCCCTAAAAAGATAAATTGATAGATTACTGTTTTTTGGGGGGTTTTTTGGATGCTGAGATCATTCTGGATATTTAAAAGGGCATCCCAGCCTAAGAGGCGAGGAACAGATGGAAGAAGTGTAGATTGCAGCAGGGGTAGCCGGACGATACCGCATTTTTCACTCCATAAGGCGCACCGGACCATAAGGCGCACCTAGTTTTTAGAGGGGTAAATCAAGAAAAAAATATGATTCCCCCCCCTCAGCCCCAAAGAGCAGCGGACAGGCTGCGCGCAGCCTGTCCGCTTCTCCCAGAGCTTCTTGGGGCTGCCGGGGAAGCCTGGGTCCCCCCCAGCCTCAAAGAGCAAAGAAGCCAAGACAGCGAGCGGGATCCATCCGGCCGGGAGAGGCTGCGTGCAGCTAAGGAAGCCATGACTGCGAGCGGGATCCATCCCGCTTGCTGTCTTGGCCTCTGCCATAGCAGAGGTGGTGCGCGGCTATGGCAGAAGCCCCACCTCCCGCAAAAGCCCACAGGAGCCACTCACCCTTTAAGGAGCGTGCAGCTCCTGCGGGATTTTCTAGGAGGAGGAAGAAGGGACTGACTGGCTGCAGAGCTTGTGTGCGGCTCTTGGGGGCTTTTCCTGCCTGCCTCCCCCCTGCATTTGCTCCATAAGATGCACACACATTACTCCTTACTTTTTAGGAGGGAAAAAGTGTGTCTTATGGTGCGAAAAATACAGTAGATTGGGACCTACTGGTAAATCACAGGATCATACACATCATATGTATTTTGTGTTTTTATATTGTGTTTTTATCTTGTGAACATCCCTGAGACCTGTGGGGATCGGGAGGTATACGAATTTTCATCATCATCATCTGGTCAGCAATAATTTCTGGCTCCTAATTTGTTGTCAGTAGCAACAACTAAAGCTGATGCCACTGCCAAATTAGGTTGCTGAAATAACTCAGGTGTAGATTTAGACCCGATCCCTTGAGTCATCATTGTCTGTCTGCTCCTGCTTCTCAAGCCATAATTTTGCACCTTGCTCTGGTTGGTGGACATTGGGGTTCAAGTAGAAGACTTGAAGACTATCTACTTCTGGATTAGAGTTCTCCAGCTGGGATGGAGGAAAAAAATGATGCAGTATACACTGAAAGCTGAAACTATAAAATTTGCATTTTCTGAAATAAGACGCGAATTGAAACATAGCTATCCTTCGAAATTTGCACTTACCCAAATTTTGCAATGCAGTCTACCAACCAATATCTACAAAAATGCAAATAGCAAGGGAAATGTGTATAAAACCAAAGAGACGCGTGAAAATATACAAAAATGCATTCTATTGGAGGAAATGGCTTGCACAAAACGTTTACTTTCGTCAAAACTGTGAGGGAAAATGTGCTTATTGCTAGAAATTTGCGCTAAAATGCTGGTGAATTTTCATGAGGATTTTGTAGAAACAAAAAACAAATCCCAAACAGCAGCAAAACATGGAGAACTGAATTTAAAATACGGTATGTCAAACATTTGTTGTGCACAGTTGGAATGGCCAAAGGGGCTGAAATATACTTGGAGTCGAGTGTGGATTTCATGCTCTTTATTTTATGCTCTTTGTTGTTGTTTAGTCGTTTAGTCGTGTCCGACTCTTCGTGACCCCATGGACCAGAGCACGCCAGGCCCTCCTGTCTTCCACTGCCTCCCGCAGTTTGGTCAAACTCATGCTGGTAGCTTCGAGAACACTGTCCAACCATCTCAACCTCTGTCGTCCCCTTCTCCTTGTGCCCTCCATCTTTCCCAACATCAGGGTCTTTTCCAGGGAGTCTTCTCTTCTCATGAGGTGGCCAAAGTCTTGGAGCCTCAGCTTCATGATCTGTCCTTCCAGTGAGCACTCAGGGCTGATTTCCTTAAGAATGGATAGGTTTGATCTTCTTGCAGTCCATGGGACTCTCAAGAGTCTCCTCCAGCACCATAATTCAAAAGCATCAATTCTTCGGCGATCAGCCTTCTTTATGGTCCAGCTCTCACTTCCATACATCACTACTGGGAAAACCATGGCTTTAACTATACGGACCTTTGTTGGCAAGGTGATGTCTCTGTTTTTTAAGATGCTGTCTAGTTTTGCCATCGCCTTTCTCCCAAGGAGCAGGCGTCTTTTAATTTTGTGACTGCTGTCACCATCTGCAGTGATCTTAGAGCCCAAGAAAGTAAAATCTCTCACTGCCTCCATTTCTTCCCCTTCTATTTGCCAGGAGGTGATTGGCCCAGTGGCCATGATCTTTGTTTTTTTGATGTTGAGCTTCAAGACCATATTTTGCGCTCTCCTCTTTCACCCTCATTAAAAGGTTCTTTAATTCCTCCTCACTTTCTGCCATCAAGGTTGTGTCGTCTGCAAATCTGAGGTTGTTGATATTTCTTCCGGCAATCTTAATTCCGGCTTGGGATTCATCCAGCCCAGCCTTTCGCATGATGAATTCTGCATGTAAGTTAAATAAGGAGGGAGACAATATACAGCCTTGTCATACTCCTTTCCCAATTTTGAACCAATTAGTTGTTCCATATCCAGTTCTAACTGTAGCTTCTTGTCCCACATAGAGATTTCTCAGGAGACAGATGAGGTGATCAGGCACTCCCATTTCTTTAAGAACTTGCCATAGTTTGCTGTGGTCGACACAGTCAAAGGCTTTTGCATAGTCAATGAAGCAGAAGTTGATGTCTTTCTGGAACTCTCTAGCTTTCTCCATAATCTAGCGCATGTTTGCAATTAGGTCTCTGGTTATGCTCTTTAGTAGGGAGGAATGGAAGTTCCCCTGAAATGTCTGCTTTATACATTATTTACACAATGGGCCCCACGTGATTGGCTAAATTCTGGGATTCTCCTGTAGGCCAATCAGGTTGCGGATTCACTTCCATCTGGAGTTGGATTGGGTGGCTCCTGCGGACCAATCAGACTGCTGCATTCAGGATCCTATTGTTCTAGGACCAATCAGACTGCTGCATTTTGGGTCCTATTCAACTCAGTACATAACAGGGGCCATAATGCGGGAAGCGGGGAGGCTATCAGGAATGCAAGACCCAAGTCATCCTTCGACCATGGATGAGTAACACATGGCCCTTCCATTGTTCCTGTACTATATCTTCCAGTCATTCCTGACCATGCTGTCTGAGGCTGATAGGAGTTGGGAGTTCAACCAAGATGACACCTAAGCCCAGTTCTCTGGTGTGTGTGTGTGTGTGTGTGTGTGTGTGTGTGTAGGTAAAGAGACCCCTGACCATTAGGTCCAGTCGTGACCGACTCTGGGGTTGCAGTGCTCATCTCGCTTTATTGGCCGAGGGAGCCGGCATACAGCTTCCGGGTCATGTGGCCAGCATGACTAAGCCGCTTCTGGTGAACCAGAGCAGTGCATGGAAACGCCGTTTACCTTCCCGCCGGAGGGGTACCTATTTATCTACTTGCACTTTGACGTGCTTTCGAACTGCTAGGTTGGCAGGAGCAGGGACCAAGCAATGGGAGCTCACCCTGTCGCGGGGATTCGAACCGCTGACCTTCTGATCAGCAAGTCCTAGGCTCTGTGGTTTAACCCACAGCGCCACCCGCGTCCCATATATATATATCTCCTTTTCACTCTGCTGGGTATTTCTCCTCCCCCAAGGTTTGTCCAAGGACTCCAGTTCCAGCCAGCTGGCCACGGAGATGAAAGTTTTGGACAGAGCCTTAAGTATAAATTTGGCTCTATGCATATGTCTAGTAGAGGTATAAAATATTACAAGAAATTCAGATTTATCAATCTGGGCAGCCTGACCTCTTTTACCACAACTATAAAAGCTATGAGTGATGCAATCCATCAATGGGCAGACACAATGTGCTTTGACAGCGGACCAGGCAATTTTGCACAAACGAGTCTCAGTGCCAATTCCTTAAGTAATCTACCAGTTTCATTAAAAAGACAGCCCAGAGAGAGGCCGTTTCTTCTGGGGTTTTGTGTGTGTGTGTGTGTCTGTCAGCTGGAGGATATATTACAAATAATGTAGAATTGATGGTAGACTGCCCGTTTAAAATTAATTATGGCCATAATTAAGAGCATGCGAGGAAAGGCTGTATTGCAGTGGGGGGGGGGAGATGGTCTATAGGAGGAGATTTTTCTATAGCAGTGTATTAGATGGAAGCAGAATTAAATGCAGCTGTTTCACTAATGTAAATGATCTGGTTATTGCTTTCCATTCCATATTTTATGACACTGTTTGGACTTGGGGAGAAACGCAGAGAAAAGAAAATTAAGCAGAAATTGAATCGCTTGAGAAGAAAATGAGATTTCTCTCCCCCTGTCCCCCCCCCCCTTGCCTTCTCAGGATAATGTTATGGTCATCATATGAATGCAATCCTTAATTAATAAGGAAAACATTTAGGACAACTCTTTCCTATAACACAATCTCAAGGTGGGGGAGGGGCTTGCCCAATCCAAATGTGATTTCCTTCACGTGTAATAAAGGTTTTTCTCTTTATAAAGTACCGTATTTTTCGCTCTATAGGACACACTTTTTCCCCTCCAAAAATTGAGGGGAAATGTGTGTGCGTTCTATGGAGCGAATGCAGGCTCCTTGGCTTCAGCGATAGCAACGCAAAGCCTCCGAAGCGCAGAGGGAGAGCTCCCTCCGCGCTCCGGAGGCTACGCGTTGCTTTCACTGAAGCCTGGAGAGCGAGAGGCGTTGGTGTGCACCGACCCCTCTCGCTCTCCAGGCTTCAGGGATAGCCGCGCACAGCCCCTCCGGCAGGGAGAGGTTGCACGCGGCTATGGCTTCTTTAGCCCCACGCAGCCTCTCTCGGCAGGGAGAGAGATTTTTTTTCTTGATTCCCCCCCAAAAAACTAGGTGCACCCTATGGTCCGGTGCGCCCTATGGAGCGAAAAATACAGTATTTAACATAATTCTTCCTGTGTCCCAACTCACTCAATAAGAATAGTTGGCATTTATGTAGGGTTGAATTCAATAAAGCTATCCTGTTCACACATGGAGCCTCTCCCGCCTGCCCCTCTTCTCTCCTGCCCCTGCCCCAAATCTTGGGTGCTCCTCCCCAATCCTCCAAAACTGATGTGGGGGGCAGGGAGAAGAGAGGGAGAGGCTCTGTTGCACAAGCAGAAGTCCTTGTTCAGATGACTCTGTTGGCAGCCACCCATAACACGCCAAAGGGATTTACTGTGTTTTCTGGTTTATAAGACGTCCCCATATTTAAGACTTCTGAGACTCCAATTTAAGAAAGTGGGGGGAGATGACCCAGAGTTGTTGAGCTTTTTAGAGGGAGGATTGTCAAAGTTGTTCAGCTTTTTTTGAAGGGGAGAGCCCTGAAAATTACTCACCCAACGCTGACAATCGCAGCCGCAGCCAATCCACGGCAGCCATTGACGCAGCAGCAGCCAATCCTAAGAAGCCCTTCCAACAGCCACCAAGCACCCACCCAATCACTGCTGACAACCCCCGGCTCGCAGCTGCAACCAATCGCCCATCCCGCATATGCACTATCCGTGTATAAGACGCCACCCCGATTTTTAACATTCTTTTCGCCCCAATTTTTTTTATTAGTTTTCCACATTTATAACAATTATAACATATAAAACACACAAAACAAAGCACATTACAATACTGAAAAAGAAAAAGAAAAAGAAAAAAACACACATATTCCTTCTTATATTCATTTTAAATTCCATTGTTAAGTGACTTCCTCAAATTGAATTTCGTTATATCACCTTGTAACAGTTCTCCCAAACATCTTTCTAAATACAGTGGTACCTCGGGTTAAGTACTTAATTCGTTCTGGAGGTCCGTACTTAACCTGAAACTGTTCTTAACCTGAAGCACCACTTTAGCTAATGGGGCCTCCTGCTGCTGCCGCCCCGCTGGAGCCCTATTTCTGTTCTTATCCTGAAGCAAAGTTCTTAACCTGACGCCCTATTTCTGGGTTAGCAGAGTGTGTAACCTGAAGCGTATGTAACCTGAAGCGTATGTAGCCCGAGGTACCACTGTAATTAGTTCCTTCAATTAACTATATTCAACTCTTTTCTTATTGTCTTAAATCCATATTACTATACCACATTCTTATTGTTATCCTAGGCCTCTTTAGTACTTTCAAGAACCTTCTCAATTATATTATATTACAATATTTAGCTAAATAGTCTTTATATTTCATCCAGTCTTCTTGGTATTCCCCCTCTTTCTGTTCGCGGATTCTTCCAGTAAGGTCAGCCAGCTCCAGAAACTCCAACATCTTCATCTGCCATTCTTCTATCGTTGGTGGTTTTTAACATTCTTTTAGAGTAAAACAACCCTTGCCTTATACACGGAAAAGTCTGGTACATACAGGTAAAGGTAAAGGTAAAGGGACCCCTGACCATTAGGTCCAGTCGACTCTGGGGTTGCGGCGCTCATCTCGCTTTATTGGCCGAGGGAGCTGGTGTACAGCTTCCGGGTCATGTGGCTAGCATGACTAAGCTGCTTCTGGTGAACCAGAGCAGTGCACGGAAACGCCGTTTACCATCCCGCCGGAGTGGTACCTATTTATCTACTTGCACTTTGACGTGCTTTCGTACTGCTAGGTTGGCAGGAGCAGGGACCGAGCAACGGGAGCTCACCCCGTCGCGGGGATTCGAACCGCCGACCTTCTGATCGGCAAGTCCTAGGCTCTGTGGTTTAACCCACAGCACCACCCGCGTCCCTGGTACATACAGGACCCCACAGTAATTCTTACAACAACCATGTTAGGCTGTTCAGTTTATTTATCCTCACAAGGAGGGCTGAGGCTGCCTGAGGGTGCTTGCTTAAGGCCACCGGATGAGTTCATGGCAGGCCTGAGATTTTTAACCAGGGACAGACACCTCTCCAGTTCTGTGTCAAAGGCTCTGTGCTGCACCAGCTCACTTGGAAGTAAGCACCTCTGGAGTCAATGGAGCATCCCTTTAGGTAAATGATGAGATGGTGCTAATGCTTTAATGGCCAGTCAGTGCTCTCCTCTCCTTGTTTTAATCTTGCTAAGCATTGCCTCCCACTTTGTCAAAACATGTTAGGGCAGCCTTCGAGAACTTGGTGCCCTCCAGCACGCGCTGGCCAGAGCCGATGGGAGCGCTAGTCCATTGACATAGGGAAGGCAGCAACTTGGCAAAGGCTGTGTTACAAGAGAGCTAGGTGTCAGGGCTGCTTCAGATGCAGGTCGGCACTCAAGACACAGAAAAGTTAACTCATTATTCAAGAAAACAGCATGCAAGGCAGCAGCCCCTCAGAACAGGACGGGCCCCTATGCAAAGGTTGCCAGGACTGGCAGTCCCTGCCTCCTATTTCCCCTTAAGTCTCCTTCTCCTTAGCAGGATGTTTCCCAAGCAGCCTTAAACCACGTCAGGGGAGAGGAACCTGTGCTCTTTTTCTGCTACACGCATAGCTCTCCGTGGCCTTGGAGATGGGGGGAAGAAGGGAGCTTACTACAGTAGGAAAGGCAAGCTCCTTGGATACTTCTGTAGCCTCTGGCCCCTCCTCCTCTGCTTCATCTGCTGAGTCTGAACTGCTTTCTGGCTCTTCTTGCTCACTAAAGTCGGTTGCCTCTTCACCATCCAACCACTCCTTCCCCATCCCCTTAACCCTCTGACCTGCCTTCAATGTCCCAACACCAATCCCCAGGCTCTGAAACTTTTTCCTCTGGGATTTCCATGAGGGCTTCTTGGATAGTGCCCCCCCACACTTCTTATCATCCAGCCAGTCTCTGACTGTCAGACTTGTGTTTGACCAAGCGACTCTTCCGGTCGAGTCCTCCGCCGTGATTAATGACCTGAGCCTTTGATGAGGCTCCAAGCATGTTCCCCCATTACGCAGAGTATACAGCAGCATGCGGAAGGACGAGATAGTATGAGCTACATGGCTAAAGAGTTTTATTCCTAATTACGCAGACAGAAAAGAAAATACATCAACTCTCTGTGAGAGTAGAGGGCAACTGAAAACACAAAGGAACAGGAAACCAGTAAACATCACATCCGTTTCCTGTCTTCCGTGAGACTTCCAACAATCTGGAATCCCTAGAATGTAAACAGAGTCCTGTGACTCCAAGCAACTGCACAGTGGCGCAAACAGAAACTAACACTGACATCAGGTGGGCAGTCCTTGTCCAGTCCCTGATGTAAAGGCAGGCCTTTCTTTTTTCTTTTTCTTTTACAAAAGTTTTTATTTATACTTTTCAAGTTTATACATTTCATTAGTTTTACAATCAAGTTAACATTTCAAAGTTTGACTTCCTTCCCCCTCTTTCTACGGTTCCTTATATTTATTTTTCAATATCTTCTGCATATTCAAATTCATTTAATTTGCTCATTTAATTATCTACTTTGAATGTATACTCTTATGAAACTGCAGGTTATTACAATAACCCTGCCAGTGTTTTTATCTGTTTGCAATATATCTGTAAATATTCAACAAACCATTTCCATTCATTTATTTAAAAAAGTTTGTTACCTTGATTTCTTATTCTTTCAGTGAGTTTCGCCATTTCTGCATATTCCCTAAGTTTTTGTATCCATTCTTCCTTTACTGGGACTTCTGCTTATTTCCATTTTTGAGCAAGTAGCATTTTGCTGCTCTAGTAGCATACATAAATTTCTATACAATTTAGGTAGTTCTGTCCCTATAATTCCCAAAAGAAAAGATTCTGGGTTTTGTTTTTTTACAAAGGTTATTTCAAACATCCTTTTCAATGCATTATATATCATTTCCCTGTAAGCTTTAACCTTATACAAGACCACCACATATGATAAAAAGAACCTTCTTTCTCTTTATATTTCCAACACTTGTTTGGTTTAGATTTATACATTTTTGCCAGTTTACTCGCTGTTGGTTACCAACGATATATTATGTTCATGTAATTTTCTCTTAAACCATGGCATGATATAAAATTTACAGTAGCCATACAGTCCTCCTTCTGCCTACCTTGATGAGCAGGGCAATGTGTCCACTATACCTGCTCCAATGAAGGTTGACCAATGTACTCCCCACATGATGATACCACTGGCCTCCAAGACAGAAACTGGCCACTGTGACCTCATGTTGCTGCTGCTTGCTTGAAAAAGGCCCCAGCCTTTGTGACTTCATGCTGATGCTGCTCACCCGAAGGAGAGGGACTGGCCACTGTGACCATATGCTGATGTCACCTGCTTGAAGGAGATTGGCCATTGTGACCACATGCTGGTGCCAGGATACTGACTAATCCATGTGTCCCCATTTGGCTGTCCTTCCCAGGAAGAGAGAAACTGGCCAATGTACCAACCCACCTGAAGGAGAGAGAGGCCATCCTTTTCAATTCATTGTATATCATTTCCCAGTAAGCTTTAACCTTACTAGAAAGAGATCTGGCAATTAAATTGGGAACAAGTTAAAAGGACTCTGGAACTTCATATTTGCAACTGAAACTTGGCAGGAGAAGACTTTGTCGAACTTGGGGGGTAACGTCATGGAGGCAGAGTGCCTGGAACAGCTGGAGTTTAATTTGGAAGGTGGAATTTCCATACTGACGTTTGATGAAGACCAGGGCACAGCATCTGGAATGCTCAATATTTGACCCTGCCACTCATTTGGTATTACAATAACAATATTTGGATTACAACTGCCATTTTTCTACGGTCATTTATGGATTACAAGATATATCAAAGTTGTTTGGAACATAATTGAAATATGCCGTATTTTTCACTCCATAAGACGCACCTAGTTTTTAGAGGAGGAAAACAAGAAAAAAAATATTCTGAACGAAACAGTGGATTTTTGTGGTTCAAGCTGTGGCCACAGATATGTGATTTGATGGTGAGTTTGGGGTAGCCCAGTGCAAAAATCCTGAGGATCCATGTGGATCCATGCTTTGTAACCACCCCACCCCCCCCCCCCCCCCCCCCCCCCCCCCCCCCCCCCCCCCCCCCCCCCCCCCCCCCCCCCCCCCCCCCCCCCCCCCCCCGCCCCCCCCCCCCCCCAAAGATTTTGATAGCAATGGACAGGAATGGATTTAGAAAAAGATTAGACTTACTCATGGTGAATAAGTCAATAAATGATTAGAGGTGGCCCAAGGCATCGTACTGCCTGAGACAAGCTAAACAGTGCCCCTCTCAAATATGTTACCTGAGGCAGTTGCTTTATTTTATCTAATACAGTGGTACCTCGGGTTACAGATGCTTCAGGTTACAGACGCTTCAGGTTACAGACTCCGCTAACCCAGAAATAGGACCTCGGGTTAAGAACTTTGCTTCAGGATGAGAACAGAAATCGTGTGGTGGTAGAGGGAGGCCCCATTACCTGGAGTGGTACCTCAGGTTAAGAACAGTTTCAGGTTAAGAATGGACCTCCAGAATGAATTAAGTTCTTAACCCGAGGTACCACTGTAGTAGCTCCAACAATGGCCATGGTGGCTGCATATGCCCTCCAGAGACATGAAAACACCTTATTTATTCTCCTGCTTTTAGTTGTCATTTCTGTTCTGCTCTACATTCACTGTTGTATTTTTATCCATGCTATTTTTGTCAGGTGCCCTCGTAGGGTGAAATCCTTGCCTCATAAGGAATTGCTACATCCATCCAGCCAGCACCCTTAGACACAAGCGAGAGATAAAGGGAAGAGTAAAGCCGGAAGAGAAGACAATGAATGTTCTCCTTTGCACTGCCACTGCTGCCATGCTTTTCATCATGGCTGAGGCTCAGACTGCTAGCATGCCTTTTGAGAAAGAGTTAGGTGCCACTCCCGAAGCCTTGCCTTTGGCTATCTGGCTAATAAAAAAGACTACCAAGTTGTATAAAACGCTGTGTAATCTGCGAGGCACATGTGATACCGATTGGAGTCATCTGCCTCAGGAACATTTGCTTATCCCAGAGATCCATAGCGAAAGTAAATGCTCCCCCTCTACATTTGAAAAGGAAGGATGCCTGGAACTCCTTGCAGAGGGACTTTTTTCATTTAGGATATTTTTGGAATACCTGCAGGAAACTTTATTTCCCAAGAAACCGGAGCTAACTCAGTACTTGTGGCCAGCAACAGAGTTTCTGGCCAATAACTTGAAGTCACAGCTGCAGAATCCTGAGTGCATGCAACCTATACCTGACGCCATTGACGATGATCTTGTTCATAAGATAGCAATGTATACTGGTTGGACACCTGCAATTCTCAGGCACACCATACTTAGAAGGTACCTGAAGTTTATGGATACAGCTGCAAGTGCAATTCGGTCTATAAACACATCACAGATAACAGTAAATGATGTGCATCAACTGGCATTTAGAAGAGGACAACCATTTGGACAAAAAAAAATGACCTTGAGTTTACCAGGAAAAAATGTTTGAGAAGCCGCACTGCAGCCCACAGCTGACCACATCCTAATCTCCCCAGTGGGCCAAGATTGAGAGGTGGAAAGGAGTACAGGTCATCAGTTAGAACCCATTTAAAGTCTCTGCAGCCATAAAACACACCTAAAAGTGGATAATTTGTGGAGAAAACCTTGAAGATGCCTAGAATACTTGCTCAACTGAAGAGAAAGCAGCAGGTGTTTAAAGTGCTTTGAATGCAAACTTCAGTCACTGGAAAGAAAGAAAAACAGAGCCTCGCAGAGAAAACTGGCAAAACCACTTTTCCAGTGCTTCCTAATGGAAGCACTTGACTAACTTTAAGTTAGCTTCAGAACCAAACAAAATATAGAAATATTGTTATACTTGAGCTACAAATGGCAACTGCATGTTTATTTATTCTATGTCCCATTAAGTCATCAGAACCCCAAGCAGGTTACAGAAAACATCCATTGTGTACCAATAAAAAGAGAAATTAAAAGAAGTTTTCAAACTGTTAAAACCAGCAGTTTCGAAAACAAGAAAGCACAGCATATTGTTCTACCTGGAACAGGTGATATTTAGCTAAGAGACGAAACAGCAGTCATTCATTTATTATGGTAGGTCCTATGGCCTGCCCATGCTGATTTCTAAATTCAGAGAAACAACCAGCAAATAACTATTTCCCTCTTTTTTACAGTCTCAAGAGACAGGACTGATCCATTTTGTGATTCAAATCACTCTTGAAAAACTGGTATATATACTGCCTAGTTTCAAAAATCAGAGAAAACTTATAAAAATAGGAAATTATCAATGCACAACATGAAGATTATAAAGAATTGCTTCTCCACAGAACCATGTCTCAAGATTTATGATGATTATGAATAACTTTTGTAGGTAAAAGAATAAGAGGGAGAGAAAAATAAGGTTAATTTGGATGAAGAGTGTCACAGGTATAGGCTTATATAATAAGATTGTTATAATGTCTCCTAGGATATTATTGCGAAGGGCAGGAATGGAATGTTATTGATAATAAAAACAAACATTCAAATAAATTTCTTTAAAATCAATATGATTACTTGTTCTACTAATTCTCCCCTCCTTCCTTCCTTCCTTCCTTCGGTAATTGCTTTAAGGTTTAACTGTACACATTCTCAAACAATTAATCACCCAGATGCATGGATCATGTTAATCACTTACAAGCAAGATGAAAAAGCAGAATGTTAGAAACAAGAAACTACAGGTTTCATAAGGAAGAGCATGCATTAATAAGTGGAAAGTCTGCTGATTGCATATGGCAGAATTCCCTCTAACATTTAGAACCAGCAAGAATTTCGAGGACAAAAGAATGCCTGTTTTGTCACTGGGCAGAATGTTACAAGCAGATGGTACTCACATAACAAAGATGACTATGAACTGGCATTAATGGGTGCTTTCTGGGAGAAAGTATGGGATATGAATGTTAAAGCTAAGTATATTTACAAGATTCCAGCTTCTTGCCTGTAGTTAGTTCAAAAACGTCTTCTCCAACCCACCTTCCAAAAGTGCAGCTTCAAAAACGAAATTTTATGCTTGACCAAAAACAAAGGGCAGAGGAGGGAAAGTGGAAAGTGCTGAATAAAATGTAGGTTTTTGTAAGGGCCTCCAAAGTGTAGTCCATAAGGAACACACGAAGGTACATGGATCCTTTTGTCCATTAGTCTGATTTGTCAAAAAACAGAAATAGCAATAAGATGGACACTGTAAGGGCAGGACTACTTAATTTATTTACTTGAATAAGCTTTTATTAAAACTTTTTTGTAATACAATACAATAAAATGAACTAATCTAGATAAAAACCAAAACGAAGAAAGAGAGAAAAGAAAATGCACCCAGGGGCTTTCCTTCCATCCCTTTACCACCTTCATGTTAATCCAAAACAGAGGCCAGCAATGGAAGAGAAAAGAAAATAGAAATAAGGAACAAGATAAAAAGAAGGAATGTAAGTAACGGGGGGAAAGAAAGAAAGAAAGAAAGAAAGAAAGAAAGAAAGAAAGAAGAAAGAAAGGTAAACAGGACTTCTGGTTTTCCACCTGTCATTTACATAAAAGAAATCATTCAAAACATTCATTCTAATAGGACATCTGAGTGTTCTATTTTCAACGGAGCAATTTCAGACCCAAACGTTTCAAGTTCACTTCTTTTCCTTTCCACACAAAAACCCAAAAGCAGTTCTCTAATTACTATTATCAACAATGGGGGACACCTGGCTTACTAGCAGTACATGTGAAAAGGATCTAGGGGTCTTGGTGGACCACAAGCTAAACATGAGTCAAAAGTGTGATGCAGCAGCAAAAAACCAAGATAATGCTATTCTAGGCTGTACCAGCAGAAGTATAGTGTCCAGATCACTGGGAAGGAGTAATACTGCTCTGTTATGCCTTAGTGAGACCACACTTGGCGTATTGTGTCCAGTTCAGGGCACCACAATTTAAGAAGGATCATAGAATCACAGAATTGCAGAGTTGGAAGGTAACCCTGAGGGTCATCTAGTCCAATCCCCTGCAATTCAGGAATCTCAACTAAAGCACCCAACCACTGCTTTAAAAATTCCAAGGAAGGAGAGTCCACAACCTCCTGAGGGAGATTGTTTCACTGTTGAACAGCTCTTGCTGTCAGAATGTTTTTCCATATGTTTTGTCGGAATCTCCTTTCTTGTAACTTGAAGCCATTGGTCTGAGTCCTACCCTCTAGAGCAGGAGAAAACAAGCTTGTTCCCTCTTCCATGTGACAGCCCTTAAGATTTTTGAAGATGGCTATCATATCTCTTCTCAATCTCCTCTTTTCTAGGCTAAACGTACCCATCTCATTCAAACATACCCAACTCCTTCCATACCCTTGATCATCTTGGTTGCCCTTCCTTGGTTGACCACTCTGAACATGTTTGAGCTTGTCAACATCCTTCTCAGGAGTGATGTATGGAAGTGAGAGCTGGACCATAAAGAAGGCTGATTGCCAAAGAATTGATGCTTTTGAATTATGGTGCTGGAGAGCCCCATGGACTGCAAGAAGATCAAAGCTATCTATTCTTAAGGAAATCAGCCCTGAGTGCTCACTGGAAGGACAGATCCTGAAGCTGAGGCTCCAATACTTTGGCCACCTCATGAGAAGAGAAGACTCCCTGGAAAAGACTCTGATGCTGGGAAAGATTGGGGGCACAAGGAGAAATGAGTGACAGAGGACAAGATGGTTGGACAGAGTTCTCGAAGCCACTAACATGAATTTGACCAGACTGCGGGAGGCAGTGGAAGACAGGAGTGCCTGGCGTGCTCTGGTCCATGGGGTCACGAAGGGTCGGACATGACTAAAGGACTAAACAAAAACAAATTGTATTGTATTGATATAGCCTAGAATAGCATTGGCCTTTTCTGCTGTTGAGTCATGCTAAGCTTGTGGTCCACCAAGACCCCGAGATCCTTTTCACATCTACTGCTAGCAAGCCAGATGTCCCCCATCTTATATTTGTGCACCTGGTTCTTCCTGCCTAAGTGCAGAACCTTACATTGGTCCCTAGTGAAATTCATTTTTTTAGCTTGGATTTTTTACTTCTGCAATCTGATAACGGTCGTTTTGAATTCTGATTCCATCTCCCACAGCATTAGCTGCCCTTACCAGTAAGCTGATGACACACAACTCTAATTCTCCACAATACCTGAACCAGGAGGAGCTGTGAAGGCTCTGAATTTGTGTCTCAATGCAACAGACGACTACATGAGAGTGGGTAAACTGTACTTGAATACTGGGAAGATGGAGGCTATTTGGATGACTCCCTTATTCGGGAGATAGGCAAGTTCTCTGTTTGGGATAAGGTTGCACTCCTTCTGAAGTGTGTAGCTTGCAGGTACTCTTGGATATGTCTTTGTCGTTAGAAGTCATAGTGCCCTCTGTGGCTGGGATTGCCTGCTACCAGCAGGCGCCTTCTGTTTTTGAAAGCTGCACCACCTTGGGTGGGTGGATGGGGGACATCCGTCTGTTCGAAATATAGATAGAAAGCTGGTTGTGGGTGTGAGGGTAGAATTTGAACCGAACCCAATTAATGAGAGCTGATGATTTAAATAAAGTTGAAAGAGGATGGTTTCTGTGATCTGGTACATTGGTGGGAGATAGAGGCTATCAAAGAAGTGAGGTGTGTCAAGGAACAACAAGGCAAGGAACAACCCACAGGAGTGGAATGTTCCTGAAATTATTAAAGTTGGATTCAGTTAAAAGAAAAATGGAGGGGTGTGTGTAGGACGAAATAGTACAATTAAATGCACGTAGCATATAAAAAGGAAACCCAGGAGAAGCTTCCAGAATCTTATTTGATAAAGCTGAAAACACCTGTTGTGACCATCAGAGACATCTTTTCCTTTCTTTTTGGGATTGTGAGTATGCTATCTCAGGTTGGAAGCGAATATCCTTTCCCTTGAAGCGGAAATAGAATCAGCAGAATGCTCCTTTCAGAAGTGCTTTTGTTCAGTTAGAACACAGAACAGGGAAAAGGGATTCAGCGTATGCTGGAGGGAATAATACTTCTCCTGAAGACACAGGTTCACGGTCTGGGCACGCTCCTGGCTGCAGCCCTGAACATGGCTGTCTAGGTTTCTGCAGTGGATAGGAGTGGATTTGCAGTTAAGGCTAGTGCACCAATTCCGCCTGTTCCTTGAGGTGAATGAGTTGCCCAAAGTGACACATGCCTTCGCTACATCCTGTTTGAATTATTGTAATGTGCTGTATGTGGTAATGCCTTAGGAAGGTGCTCAGAAACTTCAACTGGTTCAAAGACCTGCAGCCAGACCGTTGACAGGGGCTGGTTATGGGGAGCACGGCACTTCATTACTAGAACAGCTTCACCGGCTAGCAATCTGTTTCCAGGCAAAAGGAGACTTGCTGTTTCAAACGTTATGGCTTAGCACCTTGTATAAGTTCGTGGAGGGTAATATCTGTGTAACAATGTGAGTTCGATTTCACTAGGCTCGGTAGATTCTTTTGATGTAACTTTGGCTTTGAGGCAACTACGAGTCCCAAGTCCCAGGTGCAGAGGAGAATTTGTCATAAAAGATTTAGTGATAGCAATGGTCAGGGATGGATTTAGAAAAAGATTAGACTTATTCATGGTGAATAAGTCAATAAATGATTAGAGGTGGCCCAAGGCATCGTACTGCCTGAGACAAGCTAAACAGTGCCCCTCTCAAATATGTTACCTGAGGCAGTTGCTTTATTTTATCTAATACAGTGGTACCTCGGGTTACAGATGCTTCAGGTTACAGACGCTTCAGGTTACAGACTCCGCTAACCCAGAAATAGGACCTCGGGTTAAGAACTTTGTTTCAGGATGAGAACAGAAATCGTGTGGTGGTAGAGGAGGCCCCATTAGCTGGAGTGGTACCTCAGGTTAAGAACAGTTTCAGGTTAAGAATGGACCTCCAGAACGAATTAAGTTCTTAACCCGAGGTACCACTGTAGTAGCTCCAACAATGGCCATGATGGCTGCATATGCCCTCCAGTGACAGAAAAACACCTTATTTATTCTGCTGCTTTTAGTTGTCATTTCTGTTCTGCTCTACATTCACTGTTGTATTTTTATCCATGCTATTTTTGTCAGGTGCCCTCGTAGGGTGAAATCCTTGCCTCATAAGGAATTGCTACATCCATCCAGCCAGCACCCTTAGACACAAGCGAGAGATAAAGGGAAGAGTAAAGCCAGAAGACAAGACGATGAATGTTCTTCTTTGCACTGCCACTGCTGCCATCCTTTTCATCATGGCTGAGGCTCAGACTGCTAGCATGCCTTTTGAGAAAGAGTTAGGTGCCACTCCTGAAGCCTTGCCTTTGGCTACCTGGCTAATAAAAAGACTACCAAGTTGTATAAAACGCTGTGTAATCTGCGAGGCACATGTGATACCGATTGGAGTCATCTGCCTCAGGAACATTTGCTTATCCCAGAGATCCATAACGACAGTAAATGCTACCCTCTACATTTGAAAAGGAAGGATGCCTGGAATTCCTTGCAGAGGGACTTTTTTCATTTAGGATATTTTTGGAATACCTGCAGGAAACTTTATTTCCCAAGAAACCAGAGCTAACTCAGTACTTGTGGCCAGCAACAGAGTTTCTGGCCAATAACTTGAAGTCACAGCTGAAGAATCCTGAGTCCATGCAACCTATACCTGACGCCATTGATGATGATCTTGTTCATAAGATAGCAATGTATACTGGCTGGACACCTGCAATTCTCAGGCACACCATACTTAGAAGGTACCTGAAGTTTATGGATACAGCTGCAAGTGCAATTCGGTCCATAAACACATCATAGATAACAGTTAATGATGTGCATCAACTGGCATTTAGAAGAGGACAACCATTTGGACAAAAAAAATGACCCCGAGTTTACCAGGAAAAAAATGTTTGAGAAGCCGCACTGCAGCCCACAGCTGACCACATCCTAATCTCCCCAGTGGGCCAAGATTGAGAGGTGGAAAGGAGTACAGGTCATCAGTTAGAACCCATTTAAAGTCTCTGCAGCCATAAAACACACCTAAAAGTGGATAATTTGTGGAGAAAACCTTGAAGATGCCTAGAATACTTGCTCAACTGAAGAGAAAGCAGCAGGTGTTTAAAGTGCTTTGAATGCAAACTTCAGTCATTGGAAAGAAAGAAAAATAGAGGCTCGCAGAGAAAACTGGCAAAACCACTTTTCCAGTGCTTCCTAATGGAAGCACTTGACTAACTTTAAGTTAGCTTCAGAACCAAACAAAATATAGAAATATTGTTATACTTGAGCTACAAATGGCAACTGCATGTTTATTTATTCTATGTCCCATTAAGTCATCAGAACCCCAAGCAGGTTACAGAAAACATCCATTGTGTACCAATAAAAGAGAAATTAAAAGAAGTTTTCAAAATGTTAAAACCAGCAGTTTCGAAAACAAGAAAGCACAGCATATTGTTCTACCTGGAACAGGTGATATTTAGCTAAGAGACGAAACAGCAGTCATTCATTTATTATGGTAGGTCCTATGGCCTGCCCATGCTGATTTCTAAATTCAGAGAAACAACCAACAAATAACTATTTCCCTCCTTTACAGTCTCAAGAGACAGGACTGATCCATTTTGTGATTGAAATCACTCTTGAAAAACTGGTACATATACTGCCTAGTTTCAAGAATCAGAGAAAACTTATAAAAATAGGAAATTATCAATGCACAACATGAAGATTATAAACAATTGCTTCTCCACAGAACCATGTCTCAAGATTTATGATGATTATGAATAACTTTTGCAGGTAAAAGAATAAGAGGGAGAGAAAAATAAGGTTAACTTGCATGAAGAGTGTCACAGGTATAGGCTTATATATGATAAGATTGTTATAATGTCTCCTAGGATATTATTGCGAAGGGCAGGAATGGAATGTTATTGATAATAAAAACAAACATTCAAATAAATTTCTTTAAAATCAATATGATTTCTTGTTCTACTAATTCTCCCTTCCTTCCTTCCTTCCTTCCTTCCTTCCTTCCTTCCTTCCTTTGGTAATTGCTTTAAGGTTTAACTGTACACATTCTCAAACAATTAATCACCCAGATGCATGGATCATGTTAATCACTTACAAGCAAGATGAAAAAGCAGAATGTTAGAAACAAGAAACTACAGGTTTCATAAGGAAGAGCAGGCATTAATAAGTGGAAAGTCTGCTGATTGCATATGGCAGAATTCCTCTAACATTTAGAACCAGCAAGAATTTCTAGGACAAAAGAATGCTTGTTTTGTCACTGGGCAGAATGTTACAAGCAGATGGTACTCACATAACAAAGATGACTATGAACTGGCATTAATAGGTGCTTTCTGGGAGAAAGTATGGGATATAAATGTTAAAGCTAAGTATATTTACAAGATTCCAGCTTCTTGCCTGTAGTTAGTTCAAAAACGTCTTCTCAAACCCACCTTCCAAAAGTGCAGCCTTCAAAAACGAAATTTTATGCCTGACCAAAAACAAAGTGCAGAGGAGGGAAAGTGGAAAGCGCTGAATAAAATGTAGGTTTTTGTAAAGGCCTCCAAAGTGTAGTCCATAAGGAACACACGAAGGTACATGGATCCTTTTGTCCATTATTCTGATTTGTAAAAAAACAAAAAACAAAACAGAAATAGCAATAAGATGGACACTGTAAGGGCAGGACTACTTAATTTATTTACTTGAATAAGCTTTTATTAAAACTTTTTTGTAATACAATACAATAAAATGAACTAATCTAGATAAAAACCAAAACGAAGAAAGAGAGAAAAGAAAATGCACCCAGGGCTTTCCTTCCATCCCTTTACCACCTTCATGTTAATCCAAAACAGAGGCCAGCAATGGAAGAGAAAAGAAAATAGAAATAAGGAACAAGATAAAAAGAAGGAATGTAAGTAACGGGGGGAAAGAAAGAAAGAAAGAAAGAAAGAAAGAAAGAAAGAAAGAAAGAAAGAAAGAAAGAAGAAAGAAAGGTAAACAGGACTTCTGGTTTTCCACCTGTCATTTACATAAAAGAAATCATTCAAAACATTCATTCTAATAGGACATCTGAGTGTTCTATTTTCAACGGAGCAATTTCAGACCCAAACGTTTCAAGTTCACTTCTTTTCCTTTCCACACAAAAAAACCCAAAAGCAGTTCTCTAATTACTATTATCAACAATGGGGGACACCTGGCTTACTAGCAGTACATGTGAAAAGGATCTAGGGGTCTTGGTGGACCACAAGCTAAACATGAGTCAAAAGTGTGATGCAGCAGCAAAAAACCAAGATAATGCTATTCTAGGCTGTACCAGCAGAAGTATAGTGTCCAGATCACAGGGAAGGAGTAATACTGCTCTGTTATGCCTTAGTGAGACCACACTTGGCGTATTGTGTCCAGTTCTGGGCACCACAATTTAAGAAGGATCATAGAATCACAGAATTGCAGAGTTGGAAGGTAACCCTGAGGGTCATCTAGTCCAATCCCCTGCAATTCAGGAATCTCAACTAAAGCACCCAACCACTGCTTTAAAAATTCCAAGGAAGGAGAGTCCACAACCTCCTGAGGGAGATTGTTTCACTGTTGAACAGCTCTTGCTGCCAGAATGTTTTTCCATATTTTTAGTTGGAATCTCCTTTCTTGTAACTTGAAGCCATTGGTTCGAGTCCTACCCTCTAGAGCAGGAGAAAACAAGCTTGTTCCCTCTTCCATGTGACAGCCCTTAAGATTTTTGAAGATGGCTATCATATCTCTTCTCAATCTCCTCTTTTCTAGGCTAAACGTACCCATCTCATTCAAACATACCCAACTCCTTCCATACCCTTGATCATCTTGGTTGCCCTCCCTTGGTTGACCACTCTGAACATGTTCGAGTTTGTCAACATCCTTCTCAGGAGTGATGTATGGAAGTGAGAGCTGGACCGTAAAGAAGGCTGATTGCGTGGCAAGACCCCTCCCCCAAGTGAAAAGAAGACACTGGACACATTATATAAGGTTAAGTGGGCATAAAAAGGCCACAACTTTATTGATTACAGAATTGAAGGTATTGGCCTTAGGCATTGGCTCCTATCGACTACCCGGTAAGCAGACCGGAAAGGGTTAACCACAAACCGTGGGAGTCCTGTTGAAGTACGCCAACTAGGATCCCACGGGTGTCAGCGCTCTGGGGCATGCCGGAGGCCCTTACCTCCCTAGGTTTCGGACAAGGCAACGCCCCCCGGAGTCTTCTACCGGACTACCCTTTACATGGGGGAAGGTGATGGCGCTTCCTTCCCCCCCATTCATTTACATAACAATAAACCCCTGCCAATGCCTAACCGCCAAATACCGCAAAGTTGTGACGATTGCTACGAGGTAGGCGAAAAAACCAAAAAGCCGACAGTGCGCCAAATTGGAAAAATTCCTACCAGGCCCCTTACGGCGACCAACCGGAGTCCATAGCAAGGTCAAAGCTAGCTAAGCCTAAAGGGTGGGTGGGATGGGAAAATCTCCGCTCAGCTGGCGAGGGGAAAGAGGGCAGTCCACGGGCGTGCCTGGCCTTAAGTAGCCAAGGCCACGCCTCCCCGGGCCGCCGATTGGCGGATCGGGTCGCAGGCACGCCCGGGGATTCCCTGGGTCTCGCGGGGGCAAAAGGTCCGCCCCCCGCGTGTGGGAGGGGGTCGCCCGCAACCCCCTCTCCTCTGAAGTCGGAAATGGCTTTGCGTGGCAAGACCCCTCCCCCAAGTGAAAAGAAAACACTGGACACATTATATAAGGTTAAGTGGGCATAAAAAGGCCACAACTTTATTGATTACAGAATTGAAGGTATTGGCCTTAGGCATTGGCTCCTATTGACTACCCGGTAAGCAGACCGGGAAGGGTTAACCACAAACCGTGGGAGTCCTGTTGAAGTACGCCAACTAGGATCCCACGGGTGTCACCGCTCTGGGGCGTGCCGGAGGCCCTTACCTCCCTAGGTTTCGGACAAGGCAACGCCCCCCGGAGTCCTCTACCGGACTACCCTTTACATGGGGGAAGGTGATGGCGCTTCCTTCCCCCCCATTCATTTACATAACAATAAACCCCTGCCAATGCCTAACCGCCACTCGAGCAAAGCTCGCCGCCAATACCCTCAAACCTGCAACCAACTCCTAATCCCTGCTATGATATCAGCAAGCCAAATGTCGTTTCCAGCATCTGACAGATGCACGCCATCCCATCTGTAGAGGGCCTCGTTGCTGTACTGGATACCTGGGTGTCCAATGACACCCCCCCCCCCCAGAGCCGCCACTCTACGTTCCACAGCCCGTTCCAAGACCTTCCTCGCCTTATTGATTCCGACCGGGCTCACACAATCCCTCCAGGTCCTCCTCTCAAGCAACGAGGACCACAAGATGACAGTATTAGGGAAAGCCGCCCTCAGCTCAGCAAAATCGTCAAAAATGTTCCATCTCAAGTCAATAGCTTTGCGGTACGCCAGGTCGTTTCCCCCCAACTGGATAACCAGAGCATCGGGAGGACCATCCGAGGCGGCTCTTGCCATTACAGCTGGCTTGAATTCGCTCCAGCGCATGCCCCTTCGCGCTATCCACAGCAGCTCCACATTTTCCGGTAAGCTCAAGTTTGGACCCAACCCGGTAGACATAGCGCGAATCTTGGCCCAGTGCACGATGCTGTGGCCCACCAACCAAATGCGAACCCGCTTGTAATCTGGAAAGCAAATAGACATAAAGACCGGGTCAGGAGAACGATCGCTAGTCAAAGGTTCTTTCTCACATAGGCTTTGTAAGCATCAGACTTCCACCGCCCTAAGTCCTTTATCCTCTCTGCTGAGAGCCCCATGTGCACTGCCGTGGTTGCTGCCCCGATCCGGAAAGAGTGAGCCGCGAACTCATTCGCGGGGAGCCCGGATGCTGCCAACGCCAAGCGCATCACCCGTGTAAATTGATGCCTGGCCAAAAGCGATCCATCCGCATGAATTAACAGGGGGCCGGGGCCATTGGGTCTTAGGTAGAGAAAACGCCGCATATCCCTCACTGGACAAGGGCCACTCGCTCATGTGGCTGGCAACCGCAAGAGGGCCCCCTTACCCCGTTGGTCCGTCTTAGAGCTCCGAACTTGAATTATTAGTTCGGACTCGGAAAGGGTCAGATCGCTTAAGAGGATGCCTCTCTTCCCGTGGGCAACCCTTTCCTCACAAACCACCTCACCAATGCGCAGGGCACCAAAGAAGGCTATGGAATAGGCGGCGGAGAATAGGCGAGCTTCGTACTTGCACCAGCATATTTCGCGTAACTTTTTGTGAATCTGGACCAGAATATCAAAAGTTATGGGCCGCCTCTTGTCAGTGCTAGGGGGGTGTTGCCGACGCCAACCCTCCAAAGTCTTACGCACGATAAACTGTGCACACGGGTCGGTGGCAAAAAATGCTTTACAGAAGTAGGAAATCCCAGCGGACTGAATATTGAGAGTCTTTGGTGCCCTGCCCAGCTTCTTTAAGTGGGTTAGATAATGGAGGACCTCCCTAGTTGATGGAATCGAATTCTGCTTAGATCTGGGCATTTTGCCACGAAACTTTAGAAAGTCCGCCCAAGCCTTGGTGTAAGATCTCATTGTGGAGGGGGCAACTGCACCAAATACTCCCTTCATCACTTCCTGTTCCCAAGGCTCCAGAGATGCTCCGGGAAAGACATTGATGATTGCTCCGCGTCCGGGGCTACTGAGCGGAAGCGGTCCATCTGGAAACGAGACAGCGCATCCGCAATGTCATTATTACTACCAGGCACGAATTTGGCAGAGAAATATATGTTCTGTTCTAGGCAAAGGAGGACAAAGGACCTTAACAAATTTCCTACCCTGGTGGAGCGCGCGGACTGTCTAGAGAGGACCCCTACTACGGCCTGGTTATCAGTGTTAAAACAGACCCTGTGATTGCGGAACTGCTCTGCCCAAAGATGCACAGCTACGACGATAGGGAAAAATTCCAGAAAAGTAAGGTCCCGAGTAATGGGGTGACCCCGCCAATCTGCAGGCCATTTTTGGGCACACCACTGACCCCTGAAATAAACTCCGAAACCCAATGAACCTGCTGCATCCGAGTGGACCTGGAAATCGGCACCGAGTGCCATGGAATCCTGCCACAAGGATATACCGTTGTACTTGTCGAGGAATTGGAGCCAAATACCAAGGTCAGCCTTGACTTCTTTAGAGAGGCGCACCCTATGCTGAGGGGCCCTGAGCCCCGCGGACAGTCTGGCCAGACGACCACAAAAGGGGCGACTCGGAGACACTACCCTGCAAGCGAAATTTAGGTGTCCCATCAGGGATTGAATTTGCCTAAGGGTAACTTTCTTTAGCGGCAGTAGCTGTTGTATCAACGCTTTTAGCGCATCCAATTTATTCCTGGGCAGTCTAGACGTCTGTGCGACCGTGTCTAACTCGATGCCTAGATAGACCAAGGACGTGGCTGGACCCTCTGTTTTGTCGGCGGCTAACGGGACACCTAGGTCCCCGGCCAGGGCTGTGAAGGCCTCCAGGAGGGCGGAGCATCGCTGCCTGTCTTCTGCCACTAAAATGAAATCGTCCAAGTAATGCGACACTCCCGACGAGCAGGTCCTAAAGCGTAAAGCCCAATCAAGGAACGTATTGAACGACTCAAAGGCTGAGCAAGCCACGGAGCAGCCCATAGGCATTGCCTTGTCAATGAAATACGCCCCCTCGAATCTGAAGCCCAGCCATCGAAAGTCGGCTGGGTGGACAGGAAGGAGGCGGAATGCCGACTCGATGTCACATTTAGCTAGGAGCGCCCCTTTTCCGAATCTGCAAATCATTTTTACTGCTTGGTCGAAGGAGGCGTATTTGACTGTACAAAGCTCAGGGGGAATTGCGTCATTGACTGAACCTCCCCTTGGGTATGAGAGGTTGTGTATCATACGGAACTCCCCCGGGGTCTTTTTCGGTACGATACCCAGGGGGGATAAGTGAAGACCTTCCAAGGGGGGCTTGGCGAAAGGGCCCGCTACCCGGCCTGCCCTGATTTCCTTCTCAATCTTTTTCCTGACTATCTCGGGCCTTTCCCTAACTGATTTTTGGTTTTGCGGATCCCCGGTGTTAGGAGGGAAAGCAACTGGGATTCTGAAACCCTCGGAAAACCCCTCCCAAAGGTATTGCGCGGCTTTGCGGTTAGTATATTGGTCGAGCAGGGCTTTGAGGGGCTGGAGACGCACTGGGGAGAAGGCCAGGCCAAGATGTAGGTTACTGGCGGTTGCCGGGTCCCTGGTGGGAAGATCCGGGGGCACCTCTATTGTTGTTGTGAAAGTACCCCCTGCCCCCCCGAAAGGGCTGCTGTTTGTTCTTAAAGCACGAGGAGGCGGGGTGATTTCCCCAGCACCTGTCACATTCGTGTAAATACTTACAGGAGGGCCTCGAGCATACACCCCTGTTGAACTCCCAGCAGAGGTGACGCCGCTTCACCTCTGTCTTACCCGCCTTGATCGATCCCGTGTTTTTCTTTTCAATGTAGGGATTAACGTCCTCGCCCCAGTAGTTAGGGTCCGTAAGGTCCCATCGGGTGGTAGGTAGGAGGGAAGCGTTCCTACGGAAATTCTCATCATATGTTAAAGCGGCGTGCTCACCCGCTAGCGAGTGAGCCCGCCTCACATGGGCTAAATAAGCAACCAAATCCATGGATCTCCGAGGATAAGCCGCGCAAACAACACCCATAAAAACCTGGTACCCATCCAACCAGTTCTCAAAGGTGCGCTCAGCCCTAGGGGTCCTGTATCTACCTTTACCTGAGGATCGCCTCTTTTCACCTTTACCTATTAGTTTGGCGGGAGGGAGCAGGGTAAACATATCCACATAATCACCATTGAGGATCTTATTCCTCTTCTTCTGTGACAAATGATTCCCTAATATAAAATCAGTGGACTGGTTGGTGGCAACCTTTACATCCTCAACCAAGGCCCCATCCTTCCAATCCAGTACTCCATTGAACGTTTTTCGATGTGAATTGGCCCTCCTTTCGTGCGCCCAAAGTGGGATCCCATGATTCCCTTCACCCAAACCCCAGTAGGCATCCATGGGGCCGTCGCTGTCCGAATCCGAAGAGGACGTACCTGACTCGTCATCCGTCTCGGACTGCCTGCTTCTCTTCTTCTTGGCGGACGTGTGCTTCTTCTTGGACTTCCGTTTGCCGCCCTGGACCTCTGCGATGGCCGCATTCCCATCGGCCACTGGGTGAATAACTTGGGGTTCCCTGTGCTCTTCCTCTAAGCCAGAACCCTCACTGTCGTCTGTGGAGCTTTGCTGTGGTTGCTGTTCCTGAAACACACTAGGAATGCCTACCGCCTGTGAGACGGCATTGGTGTTTAACCCTTTGGCAGAAGCCTTACCCTTGCCAGGGCCCTTCGCCGGTGCCTTACCTTTTCCCGTGCTTTGGTTTGCCCTCCTAGTAATGGCTGCTTGGGCCCGAGTATTAGGACGACTCGTATTGGTTGCTTCTGTATGGGCACTGCCCCCCGCCAAACCTGGCATTCCCAGCTGCCCTTGATTGCTAGGAGGGGTATCTGGTATTACATCCTGTGATGGGACAGGGGCCGGAGGCGCAAAAGCCCCGGGCCTACATTGCCTATAGAATGTTTCAAAGGCATGGAAAAATTGAGCAAAGGCCTGCGGGTCACAGGGCATGGCCCCCGCCTGCGCGCTACCATTACTTGCGCAAGGTGCCTGTAAATTGCCCGAAGAGGATGCCTGTTGTTCCCTTCCTGAAGCCATGACCAACTATACGTGAGACCTGGGCGAACACAAAGTACTTTCCCAAAACAAAATGTCTCTACTGTGCGCCTAAGGACCGCAAAGCGGTCCGCCTAGCTCAGTATTGTCTACGACCCAAGGGACCCTTAGGGCACTATGAAGAAACCACGGAGCAAATTTATTATTTATCCTCTTTGTTATCACTCTCCCCCCTTCTTCTTCTTCTTCTTCTATTTATTTATTTATTTATTTATTTATTTATTTATTTATTTTTTATTATTATTCCCTATACACCAATTAAATGCAGAGGCTCAGATTGGATACAAGTCTGAAGGAAACTATTGTTATTTGCTTCCAAATACAAGAATAGTAATTATAGATTTATTAATACTATGTATAAATTTATATATTTAACTTTTGAAAATACTAGCGTTTATCTATATATGAATACTATTTATGTATTTATTTATATACTTGGGAGGAGGATCTAATGAATGTAATTTACTATGTCTAGTGTAATGTATTTACTATCTTATTGTAATGTATTTAGTATTTTGATACCAGAATTATAATTATATTATTACAAGTATTATTATTACTATGTCTATTGTAATGTATTAACTATGTTATTGTAATGTATTTAGTATTTTGATACCGGAATTATTATTATGTTATTACAAGTATTATTATTAATATTATTGCTTCTCTTATTGTAATTACCAGCAATGAATTGCTATGTTATCAAACAATATTAAATCAGGCACCCTAAATATTGGTAAAGCACAACAGTGAGCAAAAACAAAACCAGGAAAGGTAGGAGCGGAACTACAGCAAAATGAGCCACTATCCCCTCAGCCCAGCCCGGAACGAAGCCCTGTAACACGCTGGAAAGAATAAAGATATATGAAAAATTTGGGGAAGCCAGCAAGCCCTTACTTGGAGGGCAGGCAGATAACGACCCACCAGCAGGGGCGCCGAGGCTGCCTCGCTTGCGAACGGGGTGCGGAAAAGGGAGAGTATCTCAGCCCTCCCAAGATGGCTGCTCGTGGCTGCCTCGTTGACCCTCAGCAAGATGGCGCCTGTCCTTCCCAAGATGGCTGCTCGGGCCTGCACGTGGCCCCTAACAAGATGGCGCCTGCTATCGGGGCCGTAGGCTGATAGCCTCACCTAAAATGGCGGACGCACCGAGCCCGCACCACGTGCTTGAACAAAATGGCTTCCGGAAGCGGCGGTTGCCCCGGCGACAAATAAACGCTACCCCCGGCAAGATCGCGCTTCTCCCTGTACTATCAGAACAATCGGGCGGTCCCCGCGACCAAACGGAAGCCAGAAACGGCCCTCAAAGCAGCAGAGATAGAAGCAGCAGCAGAGTATGAAAGAGAGAACGAAGCAGCCAAACCTCCAGCTCCCGGGTTATCCGCGCTCCGAGCTCCGTCCGTCCGGGATCCTCCCTTGGAACTGGGGCATGCGGCGCCGAAACCCCAGTGAAGACACCACGTGCGGAGGGGTGCGCTGAACAGCACGAGCGCTCGGCAGCAGGCGGGGAACAGCGTCGCCAAAGCTGTGGCGACTGGGTCTCCCGGGCTGCCTCAGAAAGAAAAGTGAACTCAGCTCTTTTTGTGTTGCTGCCGAACAAGCTCTCCCGCAGAGAGACCGCAGCTCCACGCTATCCGTCGTGCAGTGGAAAAGATCAGGGACACGAAGCGAGGTAAGGGAGTTACGATGCGCTCAGAAAATATCCGCTCCAAAATGAAAAATATCAGCTCCAAAATAATGAAAAAATATCAGCTCCAAAATATCCGCTCCAAAAATCTCCGCTCAGCTGGCGAGGGGAAAGAGGGCGGTCCACGGGCGTGCCTGGCCTTAAGAAGCCAAGGCCACGCCTCCCCGGGCCGCCGATTGGTGGATCGGGTCGCAGGCACGCCCGGGGATTCCCTGGGTCTCGCGGGGGCAAAAGGTCTGCCCCCCGCGTGTGGGAGGGGGTCGCCCGCAACCCCCTCTCCTCTGAAGTCGGAAATGGCTTTGCGCCATTGCGGCCCCACGAAAGAGTGGGTGGGTGATTTTTTTGGTGCAGGCTGTAGCCATGGACATGCTATGTGATCTGATGGTGAATTTGGGGTGACCCAATGCAAAAATCCTGAGGATCCATGGGCTTTTACCTCCCCCCTCCCAGGCAGCCTCCTTTATCTCTAGCATCCTATATCTCCCTCCCCTCAGCTGCTTCCTTTCAACACTCCCTTCCCTCTTGTTTGCCATAGTGTCTTTTCCTTAGCTGGAGCAGTTTTTTGCTCCTCCTTTTTCTCTAATTTCTCTCCTCATTGCTTTAGTCTTCCTGTCTCCTCTCCTTGCAAGACCGCTGTCTTTACCTTCCCCCTCCCAGGCAGCCTCCTTTATTGCTAGCGTCCCTTATCTCCCTCCCCAATCGCTTGATGATTAGCGGCTTTGTTTCAACACCCACTTCCCTCTTTCAAAAAAAGAAAAAGAAAAAGCATGATCTGCTTTTCTCCCCTGGGCAATTCAGTTCCAGGGACCACACATTTGCTCCATAAGACGCACAGACATTTCCCATTACTTTTTAGGAAGAAAAAAGTGTGTCTTATGGAGCGGACAATACGGTAATTCTATACAGAAAACTGGAACCCAAGGGAAAACTTTGTGTTTACCCACACTGAGAAAAGCTTCCCAACACTCAACTTTAAGTAACTATACCTCCTTAAGTGACTTTAATATACTGTTTCTTTTTAATCTTTGCTTCTTTCTTTTTTTACTTTTTATATCTTGTACTCACAAAGTTGTAGATTCACAAAGTTATGGATATAAAATTTACAGCAGCCATACAGTCCTGCTTCTGCCTGCCTTCACGAGTAGGGCCATGTGTCCACTATTACCTGCTCTGGTGAAGGTTGACCAGTGTATCCCTCACATGATGATACCACTGACCTCAAAGACAGAAACTGGCCAATGTGACCTCATGTTGATGCTGCTTGCTTGAAAAAGGCACCAGCCATTGTGACTTCATGCTGATGATCCTCACCTGAAGGACAGGGACTGGCCACTGTGACCACATGCTGATGTCACCTGCTTGAAGGAGATTGGCCATTGTGACCACATGCTGGTGCCAGGATACTGACTAACCCATGTGTCCCCATTCGGATGTCCTTCCCAGGAAGAGAGAAACTGGCCAAGGTACCAACCCACCTGAAGGAGAGAGAGGCCATCCTTTTCAATTCATTGTATATCATTTCCCAGTAAGCTTTAACCTTACTATAAAGGCAGGCCTTTCTGGACAGACAGTCTTCCTCCTTCTATTGCCGAGACACCAATATAGCATCTGGCTGTGCTTTATTTTCAGAGCACCCTCTGTGCCACCGTAAACATTGGGATGCTGTCCTCTGGCCATATAATTCACTGTTTGGCATGAGCTGAAACGGTGGAGCCATGTTCAATGCAAAGTGGACAATGGTGGGAATGGAGGCAAAATCTGGACCTCTTCTTGCAGGAGCAAGAAAGAAAGGTGAAAGAGAAACTGAACTCTTCACAACTCAGGAACGCCACCCAGCTTCTTGGCCCTAGTCCTCTAGAGGCTTTTTCCTCTTACTAAAGTGAGTATTAATTAAAGACTGCTGCTTATTCCAGTAAGGGGTTTAGGTATTTTCTCACTGCTTTCTAGCCATGATGCGAGGGAGGTTCCATGAGCTCTATGGAGGGGACCCTAGCTCAATGTCTAGTAGAGCACATGTTTTTCATGGAGAAGTTAACAGGCTGCTTTTGACCTATAAAACCTTAAACTGCCCAGGACTGCAATACCTCAAGGACTTCCTCTTTCCATATGAACCTATCCAGACCCTGAGATCATCTTCTGAGGCCCTCCTTCATGTGCCTCTTCCGTGGGAGGTCCAGAGGATGGCAACACGAGAACAGGGCCTTCTCTGCAGTGGCTCCCTGTCTGTGGAATGCTTTCCCCAGGGAAGTTCACCTGGCGCCTTCATTATACACCTTTAGGCGCCAGGCAAAAATGTTCCTTTTTAACCAGGCCTTTGGTTGACCTGATTGACATCCTATGCCCTTTTAAAATGTCGCTTTTTTTGGAGTGGGGGGGAATGTTGTTATTTAGGTTATTATTTTGGTTTTTTATATTGTGATCTTTTCTGTGAACTGCCCTGAGACCTCCTGGTATAGGGAGGTATATAAATTCAAGAAATAAGTAAAATAAATAAACCGGCTCGTTCCCTGGTGCCTCTAGGAAAAAAGGACGAATAAAAAAAGATCAAGGTGAAAGATCACATCTTTCACTGATGTGAAAGATTCCTTGAGAGTACCTGCAAATCAGAATACGCAATACTGATCTAGATGGAAAAACATTCTGACCTGTTATACGTAAGGCAGTGTTCTTTGTTCCTTTTATCTTTACAGCTTGATCCATATTTCGAAATTGCCTTTTGACCCAAATCAGGGTCTCGAGCTGGAGAATAAGTCAGTGTGCTATTGAACATTTCCTGCCTCACTTTTCCATGCAAGACTGAATATATGGATAATACTCATCGTCCAGTCGGCTGCCTCCGTGGAATCCCCAAAGCACCGGGATTTTTAAACTTTTGCTATCCTAAAAATGTTCTCCGATAACTCTTGCTTGAAGAGACACTGTGTAAAACCAGACTCCTCTCTGCCTCTTTCCGGCGTAGAGAAATGGAGCAGAAAAAAATCACAATCCTCCTATAAATACCACAGATGGCATCGCATGTGCAAGTGTGTGTACGAGACCAGAGAACATAAACACCGAGGAAGGGAAAGCTAGTCTGATCCCTAATTGCCAAAGAGAGTTCGAAAGTGACACTCCGCTTCTTTTAACGTTTTTGTAGCATAATTAAGTCAGATTGGTCAAAGAAATCCCTTCCCTGTTATCACACAGAAAATCTCAGCTGGCGAATTATTGGGAGGTGCTATTTTTGAAGGGGGGAAAAATGCCACGAAGTTATCTGATGAGACTATTATCAGCGCAGAAAAATAGCTCAGGGGGGGAA